GTACTTTTAAAAATAAACGTACGTTTCTATGAAAAAGTAAACCTTTTATTTTTTTTATTTTTTTTGCTGCCCACATAAACCTTGTTTATGTGGCCTATGTCAGACTTTGAGTTTGACATGCTTGCCTTACATTATTATTATTTTTGGCATTTTATGTAGCATCAACATTCCGCAGCGCTTTACAATATTATTAAAAAGGGACATTTAACACAAAATTTGACAAATACAAAATGTTACAGGAACAATAGGTTGATGAGGGCCCTGCTCAAACAGCTTACACAGTCTACATGATGGTCTCAACCTTTTTACATATAAGGCAGCATTCCTGGCAAGACCTCCTTGGACATATTGCTCTGTACTAGTGTTTTATAGCATAATTCCTCTGGCTTGTAAGCTTGTTACAAGCAGAGTTATCTTTAGTACTGGTTTCGGTTTAGCAGTCTGTGCAGAGACAGTACATTTCCCTTTAACCGCAGTGGTTATTTCCATATATCCACAGGGTTTTCTTTCCTACAAGAGAGATTCACCGATTACCACTGCAGGGCCAGCAGTGAAGAGATTCTGAGTTATTCAGGTGTAACGGCATCCCCAGGCATAAAAGTGTTAAACCGCCGTTTAGAAGATCTTCCCCTTCCAGAGACACAGGCAGCTACTGTAGACACCAATCCACCGAACCGGAGAAGCTTACGAATGCTCTCAAATTTACGAATGCTGTAAACAGCTGAATAGGAAAAAACATACAAATAGGTTTACACTCCTAGCAGTCGAACTGGAACAGCATACAATAAATCCCCCAAAGAACGATACAAGGCTCCGTTTTGAGGGTCAAGCAGGAACAGACAGAGGTTTGGGTTTATTGCCCCTCAAACAGGGCAAGCACCGAATGAGCCAGCTTTCATGTCTTTGCAGGGGAAAATCAAGCGTTTCAACATGGGGCCATAGTCTAAAGGCAGCAGGCGGGCATCCTCCAATGCACAGTGGCGAGATTGGTCTTGTCACATCTCTCCCCTTTTCCAAACAGACTAACAGGGTATCTGACCTCCTGCCGGTCAGTGTCCTGGTTAGTCCAGCCATAAAACACAATTAGTAGTACAGCCCACCCACAATAAATGGTTACTACACCGGAGTATGGGGAAAAGTTGTCCATGTCCAGGTGCCTCACCACAGATGTGTGTGGGACTGGTACGCTGAATTGGTGGGTTGCGAGGTGGGCAGAGACAGACTGTCTCCCCTTTGGATACATAGCTGTGCTGCTGGAGGGGACTGATCGTCTCCCCTTTGAACAAAGCACCATGCTGCTGTGGGGGTAGATCGACTGTCTCCCCTTTGGCTAAACAGCGCTGTTGCTGGGGGACAGGACCGACCGTCCCTACCCCCTGTGGTTTGGGCACAGAGACTACGGTCCCATCTGCACCGGTGTGGGGCTTGTCTCCCCTTGGTGGGCTAGGCTGCCGCTGGGGAGGGGGGGGGCCGAGGTTCTCTCCTCCCAGTAGAAGACTCTGCCGCTGGCGAGCAGGACCGACTGTCCGTACTCCCTGTAGCATGGGCGCAGAGACCATGGTCCCATCTGCGCCGGTGGGGAACTTATTGTCTCCCCTTGGTGGGCTAAGCTGCCGCTGGGGAGAGGGGATAACAAGCTCCTCTCCCTTACACACTTTCAGCCGCTGGGGAGGGGAGACACTGCTCTCCACTCCCTGCATTTCACACTGCCGCTGGGGAAAGGAGACACTGCTCTCTATTCCCTGCAAATCACACTGCCGCTGGGGATCTGAGCCGACCGCCCAGCATTCCTGTAGCTCATCCTGCCGCTGGGGAGTGAGGACGCTGCTCTCCTCTCCCTGCAAGGTACACTGCCGCTGGGGAGGGGAGACGATGCTCTCCACTCCCTGCACTTCACACTGCCGCTGGAGAAAGGAGACACGGCTCTCTATTCCCTGCAAATCAATCTGCCGCTGGAGATCTGGGCTGACCGCCCAGCATCCCTGTAGGGCCGGTGGAGAGACCTCGGTCCCATCTCCACCTGCCGTCTGGGGTTCCTCCAGTAAATCTCTACAATATCTTCCCAGCTGAAGGGGTCTGGAACTGGATCTGCCATTCTGCTTTTCTGTCGTGCCTTTTCAATGGAGTGGAACAGATGTTAGTAGTCCTGCTCCAGCTCTCGGGTCGCTAGGTGGGCCAGCTCTTGCTCCACCTCATGAGGGTCATCCAAGTCGTACATACTCTCCCTCCACTCAAAAATATCACGGAACCAGGTTTGTGTAGAGCTTCCAAAATCAGGCTCTGTAAAAGACTCCCATAACAAACCAGGGCCATCAAACTCCACTCCCTCTGGCTTGTCATGCTCGGCTGTCCAGGGTATATATTGTGCTGCATACCACCAGAGTGCCTGGTAGGCATCTTCCAGCCACAGCTCCTGCCATACCCAGTGCTCCAGTTTCTTGATCCACTCCTCCAGGAGGAGCATCCTCAGTGCCACTCGTGTCTGCTGTCGCTGCTCCTCACTGGGGAGTCCCTCACCCCGCTGATGCTGTATATTATCCAGTGCCTGGTACCAGATGCCTTTGCAGACTGCATCTCGATCGTCCATGACACCCTCATCGTATAAAACTGCTGGTTCCATCCTGCTGATGTCAGGGTTGCTGTACTCAGACATGCGTTGCCCTCAATTTGTAAATCCAGGGAATGGTGTTTCCTTGTAGCTGTCCTTCTGGGCTGTGGGAATGATCCCGCCGTTTGCCACCAATTGTAACGGCACCCCCAGGCATAAAAGGGGTTAACAGCCGTTTAGGAGATACTTCATTCCAGATATACAGGCAGCTACTGTAGACACCAATCCACCGAACCGGAGAAGCATACAAATGCTCTCAAACATACGAATGCTGTAAACAGCCAAATAGGAAAAACCATACGAATAGGTTTACACTCCTAGCAGTCGAACTGGAACAGCATACAATAAATCCACCCCCAAGAACGAGACAGGACTCCAAATTGAGGGTGAAGTAGAACAGAGAGCTGTGGGTTTATTGCTCCTCAAACAAGGCAAGCACCGAATGACCCGGCTTTCATGTCTTTGCAGGGGAAAAAATCAAGCGTTTTCCATGTTACCTTGATAAATCGCTTATACTACTTTTACAGTATCTGTAAGCTTATCTTTTTCACATTTGTCAATGTTGTGGGGGTTTTCCCTTGCTTATTTAATGTGAATTAAATCTCACAATATGCATAAATTCCTGCAGAAACTTTTCTTTCATTTACATTTTCCCCAGAAGATATGTTCCAGAATGCAATTGTATATGCAAAGTGTATATAGTGGTACAATTTTTTCATTCTAGTGTTTAACTTCTTAGTTGGTTTGCAGCACTCATCAGCTGCTGTACAATAGATTGGTTTTATTACTTCCTATAGTTTTGCGTAGTGGATTGAATTCAGTTGGATTCTTTGTTTTCTGAGGATTACTGATTTATAAAATCATAAACTTACACTTCAACACAGGCACACTTTTGTTGTATTAGCACAACATGTCTAAGTCTATACTAACATTTTTCAAGCTACATCCCTCTCCCAGGGGATATACAGACATACACTATAGAAGCAAGCACCTAGCCATGCAGTCTTCATTTACAAACATTTGTGAAATAAATGGGTCACTCTGAAGAGCTCAGTGAATTTAAGTGTGGTACTGTGATAGGATGCATCTTTGCAATAAGAGTTTGTGAAATTTCAACCCTGCTAAAAGTTCATGGTCAACTGTAAATGGTATTATTGAAAAGTGGAAGCATTTAGGAACAGCAGCAACTCAGCCATGAAGAGGATGACCATGTCAAGTCATAGCGTGGTGTCACAGAGTGGTGAGGTGCATACTGCGTAAAAGTTTCCAACGTTCTGCTGATTCCATAGCTGAAAAGTTTAAATGTTCCACTGGCATTAATATCAGCACACTAAAAATTGTGCAGCGGGAGCTTCGTGGAATGAGTTTCCATTGCCGAGCTGCTACATGCAAGCCTTTCATCACCAAGTACAATGCCAAGCGTAGGATCAAGTGGATTGGTGTAAAGCATGCTGCCACTGGGCTCTGGAGTAGTGGGAACCCGTTTCTATGGAGTGACAAATCAGGGTTCTTTTTAGCCATCTTTTCTGCTCATTTTGTTAAATTTAGAGTTACATAATAACAGTAATACTCTAGATCAATAGTACCCAACCCAGTCCTCAAGTACCCCCTACTAGTCCAGGATTTATTAAGTTGTGGCTAAGGTGTTTTTAGAAAAACAAAAAAAAACTTTAGACAGAGTAATTCCTAAATCCGGGACTGGTAGGCACTACTTGAAGACTAGTTGGTAACCCCTGCTCTAGTTCATTACTTTGTTGCAGTAGAATTATGAAGATCCCTGAAGAAGTCTGTACAAGGACAAAACTAGCTGGAACTAGGACAGGATTTGTTGACTCTACAGTGGACTTTTTCAGATGCTGAAAGAAACCCCGGTTTGTGATCAGATTTTAAACTTTGTAGAAGTTACTGATATCCAATTTTAGCCTTGGCAGCAAAATGCGTCCACAATGCTCTTTTTTGTTTGGTGCTCATTTAAGTTTGCCAGTTTAAACTGCTATTTATACACTATGCTATAAGACTTATTGTTCTATTTAAAGAAAAACTCGAAACACCCAACCAATACAGTCTTCTGTAGTGATGATGGTGCCAAAGTCACCTGGTACACTCCAAGAGTAATTTGTAAAACCATTTATAAATGGTTTGACAACTTACCTGGGTCCTCTGGGCACCTTTGCTGCATACACGTTCTCCTGCACTAGAAGCCCAACATCTTCACTGAGTTAAGCAGTGCTGTGCACATCAGCTGATCGAGCTATGGCGCCTGACAGAATCAAGTAAGCAGTTACCCTGTTTTTAAATTATTTGAGACATTACTCTTGGTGGGCACCATTAGAATAACGAACATTATCTGTATGGAACACACTTGTATATTAAATAATAAAAATAAAAAAAATACAGAAGTTCAAGTATATTTTATTTGAGGTTGGAAATGTATCACAATACATTATTGCCAAAGATTCATCGGTACAAAACATTTTGCAACCGGCAGATAAGAATAACTGTTTTTATCATTACTATAAATTACTTTTACAGTACTTTGTATATTCAGAACTTCAACTCGCATTTTTATTTTTCTTTGTATCTAAAAATTCAGTCATCATTATTAGAAATTCCTGAAGTAGATAAGGCATGGTTTTATAGAGGAGGTAGCTGGAATCAGGGGATTTCCATTTCTCTCTCAATTCCCACATATTTCAGAGCATCAGCCTGGCTGTATCTGTGGGGAGAAAAAAAATAAAATAAATACACAATGAAAATTGCTTTTTATCGAACGGTCAAAACCTATAGAACACACACAACCAAAAACTGAACAATGAATAAAAAAGGATAGGATTTCTATGGTCCATTTAAGATTTGTCCCTATAGGAAAAAAAATAAAAAATAAAAAACCCTTTCTAAAACCACGCTTCAGTGATGTTAGGAAATAGTAGAGACTATGTGCATTACAAATGCGTGGGAAAACTTATGACAGAAGCATTTTGAAAAGCTGAAATCAACATTTTTTTTTAAACGGAAACTCTGTCCACACTTTATGAAACAGTGAAGCTATAACATGATAGGAACCAAATGAACATACCTGTAATCAAAGAAGAGTTCTTCTCCTGTCTGAATGGCCCGCTTCGCAAAAATCCCTATTCTGTGATCCCCATTAACCATCATTACTGAAAGAAAAGAAAAACCCACTTAATATAGCATTAGAACACATTGCCTAAACATTGTGTGAAATTATACAATTTCAGTACATTTCTAGTATATGTGATGCTGCATGTGTTGGAACTCATGTGGGTTACAATGGTTCAATTGGAAAATAATCACATTTTCAATCATTTGCGATATTTAAAAGGTATACAGACCACTACATGCAAAAGTAGTATTTTGTGATAACATTCCAATTGGCAATCTGCCTGCACATTTGATGTATAAATGGTGAAATGCCAATATTTGTATATAGACACATACTACACTCTGCCAAAACCAAGTAACTATCAACATATCATCTTACCTTTTGCATAGCAGTTAGGATTCACAGAATGGTTTGCAAAACGAATTTTGTTGCCTTTGCGTGTTGCATCAACTACAAAGTCTAGAAGAAAGAAAAATAAAATAAATACACTTCTGCTAATAAATCTGGCTTTACAAATAGAAATATTGTGATCGGCAATAGCTGTGAAATATCACTTTGTAGTGATTATGGTGCTTAGAGTGCTCTTTTAATCTTTTGCCCTGAATGCCTGCTGCAGAGGGTATAGTGCCAGGAGGCTGTTTTTAAACGACTTAACACTTATCTGGGTTAACAAGTAGCCCTCTGCTTAGCACCTCTAAAGATATTGCTAAAGTAAAAGCTACCCGTCTGTCTGGGCAACTATGGACAGAATTCATTGGCAGAGAATTTTCATCTCACATTCTCACTCAGTAAATTTCAGCCAAAGAAACAGAATAGATTCTAATAATGCTGAGGTATGAACTTGTGCTTTAGTGGCATCAATGAGGGGCTGAACTGCAAGCAGCAGAGATACCCAGATAAGTGTGAAACTAAAGATTATGAAGAGTGAGTCCAGCGCCTGGAGCCATGACAACCACACTGGTACTCTGGTGGTTACAGTGCTAAGAGAATCCTTTTAAAAAATCTGTTTCCTATCAAAGTTATCTGTAGAATCAATACTAATGTGTAGGAAATTCACACGTAATCTTCTGGAATTACAAGCTACATACAGCCATTCTTGCTCACACCAACTTCACTGATATTACAGGATTTCATCTTCTACCCCCTATACTGACCCAACATCCATATGATGTGGTTGGCCTAAAGAATATCCTAAGTAAAAAGTGTTCTCCACCACAGAGTCTGCTTCAGTGATGCTGCCTGCTCCTCAACGCGTGACATCAACCTGGCAGCTCAAAGACGAGGATCCAATTCAATGTTCCTCCTTGAGGAGCATTGATGAGTGCAAACACATGGGAGAAGCTCATTGAGATCCTCCCAGGATTCTCTTGTCAGTGAATCATTACAGGCAACATATCTATAACATGCCATGATAGCAATGAGCATGCACTCGGGACTCACGTATGCTAGTGTATGAAAGCTAGGAAGTAATAGTCCTAACTTGCATGTCCAGAAGGACTGGGAGAATGGCTTGAAGCTGGGCTTCAAAGTCGAACAATTAAAATAAAATGTTTAGGAGGCACTTAGAAGGTGGGGATCTACTGTAGGCACTATAACAACTTTAATTAGATGAAGTTATTATAGTGGAGTACAATGTTCCTTTAATTTGCAGCCTGAATGGTGTCCAGCTTTAAAATAAATAATACAATTATGTCTTAATACTGTGATGATCACAGTAAGTAGAAATCATGACTAAAAGAACACTTAAAAAGCCATGGCAGTTTTATTAATGTATGTATCCCAGATACTTACCATTGTTCAAGTTGAAGAGGAAGCTGCACATATATTTGTCATACACTTTTCCCCTCCGATCTGCTTCATCCTGAGATATGATCTAAAATATAAAAATATAGATGGCTTGTTGGGTTTTCTAACTACAGCTTGATACATCAGTAAGAAAGTAATGGAGAATCTAGATATGGTAGACCGTACTTTAATGCACACTAGGCTACTTTGTGAATGATACAAACATATGCTATATGTTCTAGCTTCAAAAATTGATAATTAAAAGGAATACTTCAAGCCCCTCAAAATAACTAGAGCTTTAGAGTCTCCAATTTAGAAACAATTTCTTTAGTATTGAATGACAGGTTCTTTACTCTTAATAACTGATAAGTTGCAAATCTTTTTCTCCTTTAAGTAACAAGACTTTTCAAGGAGGAATGTCTCTGGGGTCTTTATTTGCTAGTTACTGCACTATTTTGTGATTATAGCAAATATTGACAAGCTTATTTTATGGTTTGAGAAATAAGGCAAACCACTAACAAAGTTATTTACTTAACAAGAAATGGTTGAAAATTCACCAGGGAATTTTTAATATTTTCAGACAAAATAGCTGAGCACTGAAACCTACACTGTGCAGGACTAGCAAAGGCCCTGTCTGCCTTTGCCACCTTCCCTGGTAAGGAATTGTGATGCAATTAAATGCATGCATATTTTTACTTTAGAAAATGTTTTTAACAAACAAGCCTAATGAAAAATGGCCAAGAGATATTTGTTTGCAATTAAATTTTCTCATCAGCTAAAGAAACATTATAAGCACCAGAACTCCTAAGCCACAGCAGTGTAAATACGGACTTCTCTGAGAAAAGGCAGTGCTGTCTAAGGCAAAATATAGCGGCTGTCACTATAGTAGTTTCCTGAGTTCTGTCTTGGATGTTCTGTGTCTCACTGAATGCTCCCATAAAGATTCATTGAATCAGTCACAGCCATGGCAAGACTGGTGCAGCAGAGGAGTAAAGCTTATGTAATTGTACTGGTGTTAGAAGGAGAGAGCCGTGCATTCTCTTAAACACACACATACACCCATGCCCCTTTATGTTCAGTCTTTCTTTGGGATGGTTGACAATTTGCCTTTTTGGTTTTCCTGCATTAGCTGTATTTATCATTAGCAGTGATCATAGGAACAGCATGACAGATGTCACTGGTGTCCTCAAAAAAAGGGGAATCAAAATGATAGCACATGAGAACTTGAGGTGGATGTTACTATAATGACATGACAATTGGGCATTCTAGGTCCTTCCAGACCCCGTCCTGTTGTTCAGTTTTCATTTTTGATATATGTAAAAGAATCACTCAGTTCCATAACCCTCTGTAGTGGTTATGGTGCCATCACCTTCCCTTAAAGTGTCCTCTATTTCAGTGTCAAAAGGTTTCAGGGGTTTAACACAAACAGAGGGTCACTGGACACCTGTGACCGAGACACTCGCATGGCATATTACTACTGTGAAAGTGATAAAGATTATTATAGAAATAATTCAGAAGGGAATACTGTTTAATGTTAACTGGTTTTAAATTATACAGATTTAGCATTTCAAATGTCTTCTACTTTTAGGTTTTTTCCTTCTACGTCAGATATTGGTAATCAATGCTTTGAGAATACATTTCCACCCAGAGTTAAATAGAGTACCAAAATCATCTGTCCCCCCCCCTCCCCTTTTTTTCCCCCTTCTTATAATGAAACAAATACAATTACATAATATAATTTGAAAATCTTGCTATGGAGAAATTTGTCTTTTAATCATCACCATATTTTAGCTTTTGTCTATCACACTACAAAAGACCTCTTCTCCATTCATTATAATGTGAAGGAAAGTGACATAAAAGCATTCAGAAAAACTATTCATTTCATGACTTGGACTTCCAGTACTTTTAGCTTTTGTATTGACAACAATATGGTATACAAGGCAAAATTGTAGTTTCCTAATCATCATCTTGGTGACAATACAGGTACAACTCTTACTCAAAGCTTTTTAATTACATTCAGGTGATGAATCTTGCCATTTTAAGGTTAGCATTACATACAGTTTAGAATTTTTTTAGAAAACATTCATTACACTTTTACATATATTTTAGCTCTCGTGATTTTGCGCTTTGACGTGACATTTTATGCCGTCACCAGGTGTTAAAGACATGCACGACAGCATAGATGGTCACATGGTTCTTCGTTTAAGCATGACACAAGATTGATTAGCAAGGTGGAGACACCACTAAACCGAGAATACTCAAATAGGCAGAAATAGCAGTGTGCTATAAGAATAAAATTTTGTTATTCGGTAAGTTTTTTGGTGCATTAAAAAACAACAAATTTTATGCAAGGAAATGGCCACAGCTTTTATTTTCAGCTTAAAAGTATGAGGTTTATCGGTTATCTTTGAATTCGTTACCCCATGAAATTTCCTTTATGGCTTAGGAGCTGTATATAATACATACATGAGTGTTAAAAAAAAAAAAAAAATTTTAAATTGTTTCCAATAAAATAATTCTAATTTTTAAAAGGAAAACTCAAGCACAAACCTGTATTCCTATCTCCCCTCGTCGTCACAGATAAGGCATTGCTTTATACAGAGTTGGTCCAATCTATTGCTCCTAGTACTGGGGACCTGATGCTTATGTGCGGGTTAGCTCCACACGAGTATCAAATTTCCCCATAGGAAAACACTGAATCAATGCTTTCCTATGGAAGCTGCAGTCACATGACATACTTTCACTCAGTTACTGCAGCAGGAAGTTCCTCCAGTGGCCGTCAGTGTAATGGTTCTGGTGACTATAGTGTCCCTTTAAATTCTAGTATCTAGTGCTCAATTGCTCTGCCCCATCATTCCACCACTTACAATATTGGCACTAAGCCAATCAGTACCTCCCCATTTACAAAGCTTGAGAAACACATATGTATTTTTCATAATCCGTTTACTGAATGGGGAGCTACAGAAAGGAATGACATTTGTCAAATTGAATGCATCAGGCAAAAGTTACACAAATTTTTACTAATGGACTAAATGTAACCTTTGCACCTTACCTCTCCACAGTATTCTGAGATAAACTCATTCTTCTGCACAGGGTCTTTGATGAAGATCCCCCAGCCAGCAACATCTGAAGGAGCCAGTAGTAAATGCTATGAAAGTTAAAACAGAATTTGTAATCAATTTTTGAAAGAAGAATGGGTAGATTTCTTAAAGTGCAATGCCAAGAATAAATGCTAGAACTGAAAAACCAAAGATATTAAAATCCATATGTTCTCTCACTGAGGTCAGTAGAATTTTTACATGGTACTGCACTTTACAGAATCCACCCTGTTTAAAAATGGAAGACTGGCCAAATCGGAAAAGACAAATGTTTGAACTTGTGAGCATGATATGCATAAGCCGCAAAAATAAAATAAAACAAATCACAAAAACTGTACTTCTTCAAAGGCAGGCATTCAATGGGATTAACCGCCCTTTTCTGAACGACAAAATAAAAGTGAAGAGTAACAAATTAATGAGGCCTTTTCTCACATGGTTGCATGTCTCATGATTGTTGTAGAAAGAATGTAGTTGGAAATGGCCTGGCTCACGCTTCTGCACCATTCTTAGTGGCAAGGCAGCCATACCGCACATTCACGTGCATCTATTATCAAAAACTTGACAGGCCTTACCTAGCATTCTGCCCATTTGCCAAATTTTGATGAAATCAGCCTGTGAGATCAAAAGTTATTAAGATGGGGGCACACAATCACCATAATTGTAACATGTTTTTTCCCCCATTAGAATATTAATGGCAAATTATTTTCCACTGTTATATAAACATTTCTGAAACAAAGGCACTCCATAACAATGGGAATTAAGCATCTAACTATTGATTTTTTTAATGTAAAAAACTATTTGCATAAATTGCATTTGGAGGTGGGAATACAGATACAAATCACATATCTGATAATTTTATGTTCTATTACAAAGACTAAACATGTGCATGTCTAAGTATCACCAACCTTCTTAGATCCACGCTGAATGCTGCAGTTCTTGCATGATACGTTCTTGCTGTCCCAGTGATCAGCAGCACCACAAGTTAGACACAAGTCTGGATCACACTCTCTTACAGCCAAATAACAAGGACACTGCTTAGTGTTGCATTGTGCTTTACAGCGACATCCAGGGAATCGATTTTGGCCTGTAAAGAAGATGAGCGCACTGTATTGAAATCAACAATTTAAATAAAAAAAATAAAAAAGTGTTGCTTTTTATATTTCACAAAGTCAAAAGTTTAATTCTCTGTATGGACACCTGTTTTTCAAATAAAGCTTGACTAATGTCAATTGGTCAAATAACTCAAAGCAAATTATCACACATAACTTTAAGTACACACAACATTACTGCAGAGTGAATTTGTTATTTTATAGAATCTGTTTCCCAGCAGAGAAAGCATGAGGGAACAAAACAATTCAGGGGATGAGAAGAAGTTATTTTGGACTCAATTTCATAATATACCCAGAGCTTAACCATGCCAAAGTTTGACGTCTGCCAAAAATGTGGTAGCATCCATCTATTCTTTTGACACTGACCGGGTACCAGTAAAATTAAACTATGTAGAATAATTACTAAAGTGTCTAATGGCCTCAACATAATACTTATGGACACAAACAGGAACAATAAAAGTGAAGAACACCACCTTTGGAAAAAAATTAAATAAATAAAATGAATATTCAGTCATTAGGACTGTGCAATCCTTAAGAAGAAAAACCAAGAAAAAACAAAAGAAAACGAGGGCCAACGAGTCAAAAGTTCAGAAATCCTACTATTCCAGAAGAACCACTATTTGCCAGGATAACAAATACAAATCCAGTTTAGGAGTAGGCTCAAAAGTAGCATTGCAGCACGAGGCACATAATACCACAGGTTCAATAGGTTTCTGCGCTAAATGTCTGGATACCGAAACCAGGTTGTACCAAAGAGCAGCAAAATATACAAAATATGACCCTTTAAAAAGGTACTCACAGATAACAGTCTTGCAAAGCTGGAGCAAGCACTTAACCTTAGATCATGTCAAAGAGATTCTGAAGGTGGGGATGACTAACAATTTCAGGGAAGAAAAACATCCACAGTTTGGCAATGGAAATTATTTCCAGAGTCAAATACTAGGTCCTCAGCAGCCATCAGGAGCAGTGAGGCATATTCCTGACAAATACTGGCTACCATCCAAAGTAAATAGAAAAACTAGTTCCCAAGCTCATGCATCTATAAGGACCCACCCGGAGTCCAGCTCTTTTTTTGGAGCGGAGAATACAAAGAATAGGCCATTAGGTCTATCTCAAGGAGACCCCACCACTGAATAAGCAAGGAGAAGATCTATTTCCCTGTTTGATACAGCTAGTGACTAAAGCAGTTCACTTTCCAAATATCTGTACCAGTAATGCAAACTCCCAAACGCTATAAAATTCTGGATTTCCACCTCCAGGAAAATCTTTTGAGATCTCCCAGAAGAACACGATGCCCTTCCTTGATGGTTGCCATAGACAATCACCATGATGCTGTCCAACTGAAAGCAGGCATAAGGCATCTTTTGGATGACACTTTGCTGGGAGACATTGAATGGAAACCTCACCGCCCAAGGTAACTAAAACTGCAGAGAGCTTTGCAACTCCCAGACAGCACACAACCGGTCACGCTAGCATATGGGCAATTAGCCACGATGATCTCCTGAAAGAAGATCCCTGGGACACAGATTAATCCTCAAGTTAAGGGAGTCTCGCTCAAACAGATCCATATGTAGTATCTGCAATAGATCCTTGGAATTCCCATACTATTGGCAAAAACAGGATTATAGAAAGGGGGACAAATTTAATGGGCCACAATAAGGCCCAGAACCTAAATACAATCTACCCCTGAAAGATTAGGCAGAGCTTGAAACAGAGTTAGCAGAGCTGAACTTGATCAGCTTAATTGTCCAAAAATCCAGCAATGATCACTCGTGCAATGCACGAGTAAGCTCTTGGGAATCCTGAGCTGCCAGGTTGTAAGAGATTCATCCAGGAGTGGGACGACGCTTGCCAATAATTCATAACACTTACCCAACGTGCATGACTAAAGCAACAGTACATGGTCAGCCTCTATAAATTTAATTACAATGGCATTGCTGTCAACGGGTTAGACAAAGACAATGGGGCAAAGTACATTCCCAAGACCACCCCCCACCCACCCAATCTACCTTCAAGTCAGTTTTCAAAACAGTCAGGGTTTCATTACTGAGAGAAAACTTAAGAACATAAAAAAACAACAACAAAAAAAAAACATGGTTTTCCTGGCACTTCAGGTCCCCTCTCCCTCCCACCCCCCATCCCAAGTTGCTGAAGGGGTTAAAACCCCTTCAGTGACTTAACTTTATCCAGCGCCGATGTCCCTCGGTGCTGGTTCAGGGTCCCACCACATCATCCGGCGGGGGAGACCTTATGCGCATGGGCGGCAATGCCGCGCATGCGCATTAGACCTCCCCATAGCAAAGCATTGAAAGATGCTTTCAATGCTTTCCTATGGTGATTTCAGCGACACTGGATGTCCTCACATAGCATGAAGACGTCCAGCGACGCTGTAGACAGCCACTAGAGGAGGAGTTAACCCTGCAATGTAAATATTGCAGTTTATGAAAACTGCAATATTTACAGTTGCAGGGTTAAGGGTAGTGGGAGTTGGCACCCAGACCACTCCAATAAGCAGAAGTGGTCTGGTTGCCTGGAGTATCCCTTTAAGACTGGGCAGCATGTACAAGAAGAAAGAACGAAAGTGTACTCCAAGACAGAACATGAGTAAGACTCTTGGAAGTGGTATAGTCAAAGCTAAGCAGGTAGCAGTCTCCTTGTCAAATGAAGGCAAAATAGGTGTGAGCTAGCATTTTTATCAGCAATAAGTTTTTCCCCCCCAAAAGCTATATGTTATCCAGGTCAATCGCATCCTTAACAGACCTGGAAAGTCAGGGGTATTTCCTCATGGTTTGAGGTCATCCCAAACCTTCTAAACAGGTCAGGCAAATTTCCAAGCAGAGCTCCAAAATAAACAGAAGTAAAACCCAAACCATAAACCCAAATGTGGAGTAGGTATTAACCCTTGAAGAGTGATAATAGGAGCAACAGTGGCAGAAGAAAGGCAATTAAACTGGAACTTTACAGGTATTCCTCCCCATCTTATTTAAGGAAAAAAGGCAACCTTGAGGATTCATCTGCAGACTGCAAGCAAGCAGAAGTTTCTTCCCAGCTTGTTGGCTGTAGGTGAAACCTATGAGGAAGTAGATGCAGTCAGTTTCACAAGCTTCACCACACGGTAATTTTAGGGTGGCAGTGTCCCTACCATTCATTCACATGAATGGTTATACAAGTACTATAAATACCCCTAACTAATAGGAGTTCTTAAATGCTCTGTGTCTCAGTTTTGCAGACATCAGACCAACATAACTGGCAGGCAGAAATAGCAAATGCTGCTGCAGGATCTGTGTGCTTCTTAAAAGGGGCCACATCCAAATAAGAGTTCCAATTACATGGCATTTGTGAATAGATCACCAAGATATTGTATCCTTTAGGAATTAGAATTCAAAATAATGGTAGATTAAGAAGGCATGAAGTCAAAGTTTGGTAAAACACATTTACATCTGTCCATTCTTGGAAAAATTTGAGCACACAAACTATAATAGATTAAATGTGTTGTCTAACTTTTTGTAAAGCACTGATGCTCTGGTGGCATTTAACAGCTTTTAACATAATGTTATATAATAGAATCAGAGATTTCAAACAATATTTGGGATATACAATAACAGTACAAACAGACTAGATGCATGTCTCAACTGTGCAGTTATTTTTTTAGCTCCATAAAATTATTTTGAAAGTTTATATATATATACAAACACACACACGATTTTCTGGGGAGAAAAAAAAAAAAAATCAAATGTGTGTTTAAGAATTATATTGTAGCTAGCATGCAGAAATCTTATGCTAATGTCATGCTATCTTAATTATTTACAGGAACACTCAAAACATGCTGTTATGGTGCCAGAGGTGTGACTGTGCCCCTGTGCACAAAATAGAGTCAAAGAAGACATGGTTTGCCAAGTTTGGACTTGAGGAACTCGAGGGAGACCTGACTAATTCCACTAAACACTTTTGGGATGAATTGAAAGCAGATTCTAAAGCAGACATTCTTGTCTAACATCAGAGGCTGACCTCACAAATGCTCTTCTGGCTGCATGGGCACAAATCTTCAGATACAATCCAAAAACTTGTGAAAAGCCTTCGCAGAAGAACTGTGCCTGTTGCACCGCCAAGGAGAAATCCAACTACATCTTATTGCCCATGGGTTTGGAATGGGATGTCCAACAAGTGAATATAGGGGTCATGTCAGGTGTAGACATACTTTAAACCATAAAGTGTATATAGATGTATATATACACACACACACAGACTCTTCAAGAATGTTTCACATACAAACTGAAAGTCCAAGCAAAAGAGAGGCTATTTACAGTCAACCTTTAAAAACATTTAGTAGAATATATCTGCTTATATGAACACATACCAGTAGATGGACAGACAAAATAATACGCAATTCAAAAAAAGTCAGGATGGGATAAATAAAAACATCAATAGAAAAACAAAAATGTTAAGTGTTGGCAGAAAAGGTTACAAACTACATTACTCATGGGATTGGTCCAGCTCTGCATTGTTCTGTTTTTTGTATTTTAGGAGCTATGATTTTTAAGTGTTCCTTAACCCACATTCTAAACTTTAATTTTACAGGATCGCCAATTAGATCAACGCTTGCCAATCTGTAATTCATAACACTTACACTCAGAGCTGCACTGACAGAACTTCTCACAGAAGTTCTGAGCAATGACACAAGGACAAGAGCTGTCACAAGGCTGGCGAGGGTGATCGCATGGCTGGTAATTGTAAACATGGTTGGAGGAGCCATCTGAAAATGAGAAAAAAAAAAAAGGAAAAAAAGGAAAAGAAAAAAAAAGTTTTTAAAAGGTGAGAGAACTGATAAAAGAAATAATGGAGGTCTTACTGGAATATACATTAGATAAAATGTACAGTTATGACATTGGTGGGAGAAATCAATTGTATTTCATCAATACAATTATTAATGGAATACAATTTCGCAAATTATAGAATATGGGAAAAGGGTCATAAAAACAATTATATAGGACAAGACTGTACTGCTTAAGTTCTCTCAAGTAAAGGATTAAAAATGCTAATAAACATGTTCACTCCATAATATTTTTTCTTGTATCATAAGCCCTAAAATACAGCTAACAGCTAGGATCTACCTTCTCTGCCAGCCTTTAAAAAAACTGACAATAGGCACAAAGCATGTCCAGCAAATGTCACTGTAAATTTGCAGTCTCAGACAGACAATTATAGAATTTTGCAATGAAGGTTTCTTGATTTAGCAGAGATTTGGATGCACTTTACCAATACATGTGACATTTTATATTAAAAAGAGCTAGTGGAATAATGAGTCACTATGAGTAAATAATCATTTAATAGCTTTTGCTGAAGTCTGCATAAGCACTTGCAGGATAACGTTTAGGGGAGTGTGAGCTCCAAATTAAGAAAATCAAAATCCTCACTAAAATTAGGTAATCTGTACAGCATTAGCTTTTGATGTATAAAATGTTGAATGATGGGCTATGAGTAAAAAAAAAAAAAAAAAAAAAAAAACACTCAATGTGCAGAAAGAAGAAAACATAATTCAAAGTCAAATCGGACTAGTTAACTTCCTGTTCATCACTCTCCAACCGTACACCACTGATTTTGTATCCCATTTTAAAGGGACACTAGAGAATTAGGAATACAAACACAGACCTGTATTCCTAATGCTATAGTGCTCCCATCCCTAGTTAAAAATCCCATCCACCATTTTCCACAAAAATTAAGAAAATGAGAAATGTGTACTTGCCTTTTTCCAGCAACAAGACTCATTTGGCATTTTTCACTGGTACTGTTACATCTTCAAGGAGGTATTGCCTGCTCCAACATGGTCCAATCAAATGCTCCTCATAGAAAAGCATGGGGACCTTATGTGCATTTAATTCAAATCTTTCCTATGGGCTTCCGCGTCATGAAACCGAAATTCTATTCAGTCAGTGCAGTGGAAGCATATGAAATAATAGTCAGTATGACAGCAACTAGAGGTGGATTAAGCTGCAATGTTTTACATTGCTGGGTTAAAATGACAGGGCCACTGCACCCAGACTACCTCATTGAGATGAAGTGGTCTGGGTGACTAAAGTAATCCTTTAACTCAAAATATAAACAAATTGATAACCAGAGCTGGACATATAATAGGAGCTTTTTAAAAAAATAATAAAAATTAAAAAAAAAAAAAAAATTAGAAAAAATATATATATAAAAATTTTTTATAGATGTGCTCAGTCCCATTTACTCAAAGGTAACTGTCTTTAAGGTATTGTGATCTTTTAACAACAACTTGCCTATTGGTCAAATATTTGGTTTTAAAAAGCCCTCCGTGTTAATTCAGTGTGTGATCTCTATTCACAGCAGTACAATGAAAAGGTTAGTACCACATGTGCAATAGGAGCCATAATCCTACCCCTTGAACATTTTGTTCCAGATAGAATTTAACCTATTCTCTTTGTAGTTCTAAAAATAAATGTACATGTGTACACCATCACTTAGATGCACAAAATTCAAAGCAACCATAAAAAAAGCAAAGTGAAAAGCCAAAACAGTAGAAACGCACCTTTTTTCAGCTGGATTTTTCTGCAATGCGCAGCCCATAACCTATGAAGACATTAATGTAATCTTTAGTTGACAAACATTGTGTAGGAAAACAAGATTTCTTTATACTTTTAAAACTATACATTTAATTTAAAAGGTAATTTGTATCGTGTAAAAATAGTGCAATTAAAACAAACTACCCAATGCCGTAGCTGAAAATTAACTTTCCTATTGTCAAATTGTAGTCTTAAATTTAAAGGATTATTTACCAAAATGAGAATTATTCGGAATTCAAAGCGCATTTCAAATTTTAGCATAACTCGCTTTTCCATTTCAGCCATTTTGGCCCTAAGAGGGAAAATCTAGGCATAATGCCAATTTTAGCTTAATAAAGTAGTTTTGGTATATAGATCATGCCTTTAAATTTGAGCATCCCTTTAAATTTAAAATTCACTTTGCATGCCTGACAATCATAGGATTACATCTTGATGAATGCATATTCCATAACATAAGAAGGTAAAAAACCAGACCTGTGTTTTCTTTTCTTCTTTCGTGGAGGCGTGTCCACATCCTCGGCAAGAACGGGTGCAATAATACTAGATTCCTTTACTCTGAACTCATATACCTGCAGCAGAAAATATGGAGGATTTGTTTTTCCAGTGGATGAATTAGAATAATATTTTGGGCATTATGGAAACAAGGTAACACAATAAAAACCAATGTCTAAGGATTCAAAGACATTTAAAGAGCTTTGTTCTCGCATACAATATGCAATCACTCAGCTGTGTCTCATACAGAACACACACACAGACTGTGTTGAAGTACGCAAAACAGTAAAAAAAAGTTTGGGGTGTGCATTCATCTCAACAACAAGTCAATTATTTAAAGGGAACCATGCTCATATTTCCTAAAAGTGTAACATATCCACGCTTTTTTATGGTGAAATAAAAGCTAAAATTAACATTTATTTCTGAAAGTGAACTACAAAAACTGAGCATATCAATATTTTGCTCAAAAGCACAAGTCAATCTGCTAAAAGATTTGTGTAAATTTATCTGGACGTAAAAAAGGTTACATCATTTTACGGTCATTCAAGACAATAGAAGACTATCATGCTGTAAATGGATTCTTGTTAGCTCATTCAGAAGACATTTTTAAAGGGAACGCCAACACACTTACCTGCCGACAGGTCTTGGTGCCAATAAGCCTTGCAATTGCACAGAAGTTGTCATAGTAAGTTCCAATAAGGACTCTGAACATAGACGCTTCTGCCCCACTCCATTCCACATTCTCAGGCGGCTCAATATTAGGCTTCATCTTTATTGGAGTGTGGCATCTTGAATTTGCCTCTGTAGCAGAAATAAAAGAATCCGATTTTATGGAGGAAAAAAAAACCCCCTCCCTCAAAAAAAGCCCACAAAAACATCTTATGCAGATTTTCGAAAATTGATTGTGTATTCTGGAATGGCACTTCCTTTGTGGCACCATGTACAAGAACTCTGTACCCCTATTGTTTTAAAGAAAAATAGTGGGAAAATTGGGGAATACTGATCATAAAGGGTGTGGGTAACTGTAGCATGCATACTGCTTAGTACAAGAGCTTTCTAAGAAGGTGGTTAGGTTCCAAATTACAGGAATAACAATGGAAAGGTTTTTCAATAGAACACTTATTGTGGAGTAAAAAAAAGTTTGTAGCACAAATTACCAATATGAAGATCAAAATAAGAATTCTGCTTCTAAACAAGTACCAAAGTATTTACAGGAGTCTGAAAGGCCACAATTGTAAATGTTACTTACAAGGGACACTACAGGCACCAAGACAACTATACTCAAAATGAAGTTGTCATGGTCCCAGGTGCTGGCTCATTTATAGGGGTTTGAGAACCGTTTAAAGATTTTGAGTAACCATGTTCCAGGGTCCAATCTCCCCGCTTCTCTCTCCTTCAGTTTACGCAATCTTTAAATTGCAAGACTCTCGCAGAATGCTCTCAGGCAATCAGCGGCACCGCTGCCAGATTCTGCAAAAGCTTTCTGGTTTAAAGATTTATAGAAAAGAGAAGGACTGAGATGCATGGAGCTTGGTGCAGTTACACAGACTTACGGTTTAACCCCTAAAGATGAGCCAGTGCTATGGACCTCCTAGCACCAAATCTACATTTCAATTAAGATGTTGTGATACCTGGAGTGTTCCTTTAATGAAGGAAAATTAATGACTGCATGTGACACACTCTCTGTTTAAATGTTTAAACTTAATTCATTGCACATTGTTTCATTATGAATTTCTTATCGCCTGCTCTGTTATAGCCCTCTAGACCATGCAGGAGCTTCCTGCATGTAATTAAAATTACATTTACAGAGCAAGAGATAAAAACTTCTAAAGCAAATTAACATCTGATTGAAAATGAAACCTTGTTTTCATGCAGGCTGCAGGAGTCACAGCAAGTGGTGATGTGGCTAGGGCTGCAAAGGGGTTTATCTCCTAAATGGCAAAATGTTTGTATTCCTAAAGTAGCCCTTTAAATTTATATTTGTGTCAAGTTTAATGAATTTGTGTTTTGTTACATCTGACATGGATAGAAACATAGAATGTGATGGCAGATCAGAACCAATAAGCTCACCTAGCCTTCCCAATTTTTTTCCTTTTTAAATACTTTCATTAGCCAATGGCCTTATCTTATATCTAGGATAGCCTTATGCCTATCCCACACATGCTTAAACTCTCTCATGGTTAACCTCTACCACTTCAGCTGGAAGGCTATTCCATTCGATAGAAACAGAATGTGATGGCAGTTTTGTCAGTATTTTAAACCTGGAGAAACCTAGCTGTACATTGTGCTTCAATTTGAGAAGGGGTTTGGTCTGTTGTAGAGCAGGGTTTAATCTGCATTCACTCAAAAAGGTGAACTTTAAAATTCTAACGTTATGTGTTCACTGTAAAACAGGTGGGAGTCTGTACTCTATGCAAGTTTCAGAGTACATGATAATTATTTTTACAGTTCATGCCTTTTATTGTAACTACTACTGACCAGAAGAACTGGAGGTCTCATCCTTCTTCTCCTCCTCTTCCTTATCATTGCTCTCTCCTCCGGTTTCAGTGCCAGCTTCTCTGTCACTGTCTGTGTCCTTTGATTCTGACACATTAACAGTGGGTGTGCTTGGTCTGCTAGTGTTATTCGGAAGACGACCTCTTCTACGACCACCAGGGCGCTTTGGTGGGGTCTTTATTCTCTCTGCTGTTAGAGCTGCAGCAAACTCTCTTGCCCCTTCCTACAAAAACCAAAACCACTTCATGAAATTTTATAGCAAAATTCAAACCCTATGAAACAAACACCCTTGAAAAGCCACAAACATCTCTAGAATACATATATGTATATATATATATTTTTAAAATAAGATTAAATAACTGTTCATTAGTTGCACATGGCTGGTGATCTAATGGATACAACTGTTGGATAGAACAGCAGCAATAGGACAATATTTCTCATCAATGAATATGGACATTCAAAATATATTTTGAGTAGTATGTACTTCGACTTTATTTAAAATTCTAGAAAATAAGTGGCATTAAACACACAATCATAACATTTGTTTATTTCAGGCAAGCAATAGTTACAAAAATCAAAAAAGGGGTAGCTTTCTTGATACAGTGCATGTGGTTTTACACTGAATACACTTTCTGCCACCTTACAGTATATAGGCTAGGGGTGTGATCTCATACCATCAACACTCTATGAGGGTATTTTAGTAAAAAAAAGTGATAACAATTCAAAATTAATTTCCAATTTATGGCCAAAGCTGAAATGGAAAAAAAATGATTCCATTTAGCTGTGCTTCCAGTTAGGCTACTTGGACCGAAATTTAAAATTCACTTTGAATTGCCTGAAATTCTCCCTTCACTAAAGAACTATTAGCGTTATTTACTTAAGTGAGAATTTCCAGGAATTCAAAGCAATTTAAAATTTAAGGCCAAAATAGCATCACCTGGAGAATTTTTCTAACCTAGCTTATTTTGGGATAAATTGTGGTATTCAATCTGAATTCCTAGCAGTTCTCACTTTAGTAAAAACCCTACCTGTATCAGTATCAGCCATCTGTAGAACAGGAGGTTAACACTACACATGTTTTTTGAATGGCTGGCAATAACCTTGGGAGTCTGCAGATATTACAGGGTGCTTTGCATAGAAAATAATCAGTACCTAAATATGTACATTCAAATTCATCACTAGACCACATTTTACTTTTTCCCCTTTGACGATTTCTACATATTTAGCATTCAACTTTCGAAAGAAGTTTAATAGATTTTAACAATTCTGAATATCACCAACACTTGACTCTAGATCTAACAGTTTTTTTTCTTAAAGACCATGTTATATTAGACCCCCCCCCAAAAAAAAAAAAACTCTTAAGTGAACCACAAAAAGTGCAGCTGCAGTTTACTTCAAAACATAAACATATACACACACACACAAACAATCTATTGTGATTAAAGCCTCTGTCTCTTTTGCCCATTCCCCAGCCCCTCTGTGTCTGTGTCCTACCAGCCCCGCTCGTGTCTCTCTCAAAGGGACACTCCAGTGCCAGGAAAACAATCTGTTTTCCTGGCACTGAAGGTACCCTCTCCCTCCCACCACCCATCCCATGTTGCTGAAGGGGTGGAAAGTTACTTCAGTTACTTACCAGAGACACCCTGGTTTTGGGTCCGCTCACGCTCCTCCCCCGCCCATGTCATCCGACGGGGAAGACCGGTCTAGTAGACAGCCACTAGAGGAGGAGTTAACCCTGCAATGTAATTATTGCAGTTTATGAAAACTGCAATAATTACAGTTGCAGGGCTAAGGGTAGTGGGAGTTGGCACCCAGACCACTCCAATGTGCAGAAGTGGTCTGGGTGCCTGGAGTGTCCCTTTAAGCCCTGGTCTGTCTCTTTTGCCCCTTCCACAGCCCCTCAGTGCAGTGTTTGTTTGGCAGCAGATTTCAATTTACTTTTAGTCATAATCTTATGACTAAAATGCCATTTTAGTTTTAGTTGTATTTTAGTCGACAAAATGAACACTGCTTGGAGATAAATTTAATACACTTATTCTACATAATATCTCCTTCATTACCCTATCAAATAAAACAGTATGGTCTCATCATAAAAAAGTGAATAAAATCCACATACCAAAAGCTGGTAACAGTTGGCTCCACATGGTTTGCCGTCATTTGCAGCCTCATTATTTTTTCTTTTGTAAGTGTTTGGAGTTGCATGGAATGCTGTTTTAAAAATTAAACAAAAGCAATTGTGCCGTCATTTGAGTGTGATGCTCAGTTATTTACAATTAACTCCAAATCAAAACATTTTGTAACCAACTTACAAACCTTTTGAGTCTTTCTTATTGGCTTCTTTAGGAATTCTTAGATGACTGCCCACCCACACAAAAGGCAACTTATTCTCTACAGTGTAAATTGGGGCAACACAGTTAGCAAGCAATAGCCAAATGAAGAAAAAAAAAAAAGGAGGAAAAGAAAACAAAACTGAATTTCAACGCTCTCACTACAAGCAGCACAAACATACAAAAAAAAAAAAAATTACAGAATTCCAAAATGATAAAGTGCACATTGAATAATCCTTTAGCAAACTTCTCTCAAAGAGATGGCGATACATCTTTTAAAAATGCAATTACTTAAATGAACGTCTACATGCATAGGCGTGCACAGCATTGCATTTGGGTGTACAGACAGATTTAAAAAAATAAAAATAAACTTTACTTAAAATTAGCAATTCAGAATTTGGTACAAAATACACATTTTGCTCTAGTGATAACTGTATATACAGACAAAGAATGTATTTTCTGTAAACACAAAACATGCCAAAGCAAACTCAAGCTAAAGTACCCATGGAGATATAAAGGACAGTGAGGACAATTTGGTCCCGAATCAGGGTGTGCCTTGGGCACATCCCTTACACATGCCTAATTCTATATGATGTACAAATTTTACAGCAAAGCAAAATTAAACCTTATATGGCATAAACATAAAAAATCTGATGTGGTGGTATGTATGCATGTGCTAAACTTAATTTGTTTTTAAAATTCTATGTGAAATATTAGGTAAAAGAAGAATTGTGTGCAGCCAAATGCTGATTTAAATTTCTGTTATATTTGTTTTTAATTGGTGCACACAGAGTGAGATTATATTCTATACCTGTTTTGAAAGAAAAAGAAAAAAAAAGTCAATTGTTAGTTTACACTACGTAATATGGCTCTATAAAAGCAACACATTAGGTCTCCCTAAGTAAGAAACAAGTTATAAGATCTGTCAAACTTTAGAACAGAATTGGCATATAATGATGGCATGCAATTTTAGGTTAGTCAATAGTCTCTACTCTGCTTTTATCCAACTGGGCCATAATTTCAGTACCATTGCTGGAATTTACAGCACAGTGCTAGGGTAAGAAGAGTTGTTAACCAAGATTCTAGAGGGAGTGTTACACTAGCGTACAATTATGTAAAGACTAGAAAAAGGAGCTGTACTTACGATGCAAAAAGCAGTCATACTTGAAACATCGTCTGCAGAAAAGGGTATGGAATGAGTGAAGACTTTGTTCTCTCTGTACAGATTTTGCATTCGGTCCATCTATGTTTGGTGTGCACTCAGGTGGCAATGCTCCAGGAAGCTGTTGCTCTGTTAGTTCTTTGTATCTAAATTAAGGAGGGCATATTTAGATTAACACCATACTACTGCCAAATAGAAACTTAAAGGGTTACTCCAAGCACCATCATCACTTCAATGATTTGAGTTACACCCCCAGCACATGTGATTTTGGCAGCCAGGAACTCTGTTCCGGGTTGTCTGTCAATTCTGTGCAGATTTAACATCCATCAGCATGCATGAGACAGATTTAATTTCCACCTGCAGGTGGAAGAGAGCATTTCCCTTCCTCACTTTGTGCACATCCCTCTGCCTTCCTCCACCATTTTTCCATCTTCCATCTTCCTAACTCAGATTGCACGCTGGTGCTTAGAGTTGGCAAAAAAGTTCAGTCACGCTTCTCTATGACAGGCCTTTGCATGGACTGTGTAAGGCCTCTGCTGACATCAGATGGAAGAGGGAGTAACAGGTAAGATTAAAATCTTTTATTTTGGGTGTGTTGGGGGACCTTTTGGCAATGCCCAATAAAGCATTCTAACCCTCAAAACTGAATCTGACAGAGGGTTGGAGTAACCCTTTAAGGAAACTAAAGCAAGTACACCCAAAACAAAGGGAAGGGAAAAAATAAACAGAAGTGTCAGAGCATATTCTATGTGATCATTTCAGAAAACAAGAACAAGCTTTTAGTTTTCTAATTCAGAAATAGAAACTACATTTAAAAAAAAAAAGCTAAACTGTAGGCGATTAACGGAAGCAAATGAAAATTCTCCTATCAGTTCTTCAATCAACATGAACCAGATTTCAGGTATTTTAGAACAGCTGACATGGAAATAAAAAACCCAGAGTTATATGAGAAGTAAGCCGCATGCATGAAACTCCATACACTTATATCACCATTCTCCCATTCAGATTAAAAGCCTGAATGCCCCGGCCCAATTATTAAAATGAATCTAGAACCATCAGAGGAAATTTGGACATAGTTCTTAGGATTTATCAGTTGTCCAGAGTTTGCATCACAGCTTCCAAAATTAGACTGAATTTAGTTCAGATTTCAGCCTGTCCAAAAGCAACAGCTGAAACCTGGAACCAAATACTCAACAAAACTGGCCACTTTTGACCTGAATATTCAGTTCAGCCAATTAAGACAGTATGGTTGAGTCAAACCTGAAAGTAGATCGTGTCCATTTCTAATCTGTAATTTATAAGCCAATACATTGCAAACCCCCCCCCCCCCAAAAAAAAAACCCATCACTAGCACCATTTAGATAGAGAAATAGTTCATAGCCATATTTAAAGATTTTATTAGTTCTGCCTGTAAAATCCAGGTGAACTTATGCCATCGACGGGATCTGTTCAGAATGAATACAGTTTAAGTTCAGTATTTGATATAAGTTTATTCTATATTTTACATAGGATTCACAAGTGACAATTACTAATTATTCAATATCTTACTTCTCTTTTAGTTCTTCAGATGTGCCTTTGTCTGGAAACATTGAGGATATTGCTTCAAAAATCTTATCAGATGGAAACTTCTTGGGTAGACTAGTCACTTTGTCTGTAAATGGCATGGAGAATGGTTAGCCTTGAATGGAATGGAAAGCTGGAAAATCAATAAGACATACTAAATCCAGAAAAAAGTAGTACAAATTTACCATCTATGCTGTCGTCATCATCATTCTCTTTAGATTTGTCATCTTTTTCATAGTCTTGAGTGTCGTCTCCATCATCGTCATCTTCATAATCACTATACTGGCTCAGTGCATTCACTAGCTCCACAAATATCTCATCATTGATGAAACCACATTCTAGAAATACAAAGAATGCAATCACAGAGGACCCAAACATATGTGCATACATTGATCCCAATATCGTGGTGTAATACTTCAGAAAGACAGTATGAATCAATAAAGTGAATCACACTTAAACATTAAGCACGTGTGAAACAGCGTTATTAAAAGAAGACATATTTCAAGCATGGTGTCAATTGACATTTTTTCAAATCACTCGGCTACACTAGTTAGCAACAGAAAAAAAAAAAAAAAAACACACAATCTCTGGACTACAACATATAATGCCACAGCAATGGAATTTTAACTGCAGTCCACACCGCAAGTCCACTGAAATAAAGGAACTGCTAGTGAAGCTCAAATGAGTACAAGTAAAACTCCCTGGCAAAAATCAAAGACTGCCTGTACGTATATCCCTAAGTATCTAAATTAAGCTGTTAAAGGGTTCTGCAAATTACATAGTTCTCACCTCTGTCTCCATGCACTTTTCCATCATAATTTTTAATGAGTTCTTCAATAAAGGTCCCATCCTGGTCTAACACTTCATCTCCCATATAAGGAATGTTATGTAGCACAGTCTCATCTTCCACCTAAAAAATATAAAAGGAATAGGCAGAGAACTTCATCTCCAGCACAGTCACAAAAGTGATATTTATTTACCCCCACGTGCTAAATGCATGAAAATTACAGCAAAATCGTTGAACAGGCCTTCCAGAGAAAGTGGAGACTTATAAGCCATGCAAGTGCTTCTACCTGTCCCAATCCCCCACCATATATTTAAGGGTGCTGGTTGGGTTTATAAGCTGCAGCAATTTCATTCCAAATTGCTACAGTTAAAAGTAACTGAAAAAAAAAAAAAGGCAAAAAGAGACAGAAAAGCTCCTTGTACAATGGTGAATCCAAACAACAGAGGTTGCTAAAGTGTGTGGAGTGTCCCTTTAGGCTACTGCTGGCTCTCCTTTTAAATGGACAGTGATAGTTTACCCCAGTAAACCACTGGGTTGATGAAGCACTATTAGTATTTATTTTTTTTAACCACATTGTGCTCAACGGATTGGGAATTAGGCACCCCTTATTTTCTGGCTCCAGCTGACATTCTTTTAACAAGGAATGTATGAGTTGCCAGAGTCCCCCTTTTTGTCAAGATCCAAAAAAAAACACTAAATCTTTAAAGCTGCTAAGAAGTAACTTACCATAAAATTCTGCTGCAGAGGAGACCACGAATACATGATTGGCACAGAGGCTACAGCGTTGAGTGTTTTTAGGGGGATAACTTGCTTTGGGAAATCAAAATCACTTGCCACAGAACACTAAATAAAAAAAAATAAAAAATTCAAAAACAGGCATGGCAGAGACAAAACAAAAAAGAGTAAGCCAGTGTTTTACTATTAAATGTAATGTAAAGGGACAAATTTCCAAACAGACATTTTTTAGATAAAAATGGGTTAAAACATAGATTAACGAGTTGGTATAAGTACTTGTTTTTTTTCCCATTAAAATTATATTTTGAATGAGCTGCACTTCATGGTTTTCAAATACAGTTTTCAATTAAAGGGACACTGTAGTCACTATAACCACTTTGTCTCTTTGAATTGGTTATAGTGCCTGGAGTGGCCTGGCACTGTCCCTCCATTCAGTGTTGCACCATGTTTGTGCAGTATGCCACAAAATAAGAGTCCCTGGCCACCCACAGTCCGGCCCCTTCTGTATGTGTAGCTAAGGCAGAGATTACACACTTCCTTGTTGTCATACCCATTCATACCGTCAGTTGGAGCTCTGACAGGTTAAAAGCAGTCAGCTGACACACTCAGCCAATCACAGCTGCCCATTGCCTCTCAGGGTAATACTTCCTTATTAGCCAAAGCAGCACAGAGGGGATAGACTGCTGTGGACTCTTGTTTAGCATTAAAACATTACAACATTAAAAACTGTTTAATGCTGAAAGAAATTATGGTACCGGGGGACTCCAGACACTATAACCAGTTTAATGAGATGAAGCAGATACAGTGCCTACGTGTCCCTTTAATAAAGCATAATGCCACTAGGACTCCAGAAGAAAGCAGCAAAGCCATAAATATCATTGTGAACAAATTAATTTACGTAATGCTTAAACATCAGCACAAAGATGTATAATACAAAACACTGTTCTTTTGCAGCAGCTATTACCCCATGCCAGTGTGTATGGGTACTGAATGTAAAGTGTGTTATTGGTAGGTGCTTTCAATACTGAATCCATACATCTGGCAAATACGGTTAAATGAAAGGTCTTCTTAGATCCAGGCCAACTTTGTCAAGTCTTGTGTTAATAGTCATATATAGTGTGATATCAAACATTATTAGGGAATCAAACTCCACATAATAGAACATGACATAAAATACCCCTTTCTGTCAGATATTTTTTCCAGAAGCTCAAGGAATCAAGGCGAATGGTTAGAGTTAGGACCAACCTAAGAGGTCTGCTTTGACGTGGCAGGTGGGAATACCCTTTCATGGCCATTGGAGGTAACTAAAAACCTCCATTTGTTTAAAAATACATAGGGATGTGGAAAGAGCGCAGGTAACTTTTTTCCTTTAGTTTTTACATATGTATTCTGGCTGATGTGTACTATGGTCATTGCTGCCGCCCAGGAGTAATGGGAGTTTGAGCGCAGGACTAGTTTCTTTGTATTAATAGAACATAACATGCCAGGAAATTTTGGCCAGAGGCAGCCAGGAAGTTTGAGTAATATTACATAGTTAAAAAGAATCAAACAAGCCATGTATGTCTAGGACATTATTGCTGCATGACAATGAGAGCCATTAAAGCAGCGGTGCCCAGAAGGGAGAGCCCAAGATATTCTAAAACTACAACTTCCATGATGTTTTGTCTTTCTAAAAAGGTTTACAAAACATTGTGGGAGTTTTAGTTCTATAACATCTGGGGATCTACCTTTTGGGCACCCCTGCTTTAAAGGGTTTCTCAAACACAATATAGAATTATGCCTTCTTGGCATCTTTCACCCCAAAAATAAATGCTCAAAGAGTTTTAAAAGAGGAGCGCTTAGGTCTGTCGGCAGCGTGCAGTGCATGCAGACAGACATTTATTATGCACAGAATTGACATTGAACAGTTCCTGCCCCTGCACACAATTAAATATTTCTCTTTACGTGCAGGGTTTCAAGCTGAAACACTGCACATCCAGACTCCAGCCACCATGACCTCTTCAAAAAGACCACACACCAAGTACTAATAAGTGAAGCTTATAAAAGATTTGATTTAATTTTTATAAAACAATACAAACACATGCAGTATACATTATGTAGAAGAGCAGACAATAAAACATATAGGTCTCTATAAAATGGCAGCAACTAAAAAGCCCTTTAAAAGTGACACTCTAGGCACCAAAAAAACTACAGCTTAATGTAGTGGATCTTGGATAAAGACTGTCCCTGCAGGTTGAGTAGTGTAAATGGTGACGTTTCTGAAAAAAAAAGGCTGTGTTTACACTGATGAAAAACACCACCTCTAGTGGTTCTCTGACAGCTACTGGAGGGGCTTCATGCAAGTCCAGCAAATATTTTAGCACTGACATTTGGCATCTCCCACTCTGCATGGAGATGCTGAACACTCCACATAGAGATGCTGTCAGGACTTACCTGTCAAATCCTCTTCGGCTCCGTTCTGACACTTCCGGGTATGCGGAACAGTCCCCGCCCCCTTCTCTGACGGGGCTGTCTCACACCCTTATAGAGAAACCGCGCCAGTTTTAAAATTGCTTAGTGATTGAGTTAGGTTACTTCCGCATTCATATTGCCGGCTAAGTTCCTCTTCGTTGAAAATTGTGTACCGAACTCCTGGATTGTTAAAACTGATTCTCTGCCTTCTCCTCTCCTTTGATCTCGGACTGAATTTGGATTATCCTGCTCTCTCCAACCCTCAAGAACCGGACTGTTAAAAGTTTATGCTCCTTCCTGACTTCAACTGTACCCTGCCTGTGGAAGACTACTCCCATCATACTCTAAATATACACTTAATCATAATTCTTGGAATTGCATTATTAATGAACTTTAACCTGCTTGCTAACTCTCTCCTGCTACAATTGCTATTGCTTTCATCTAATTACTTCCAGTATCCACTGAATCCTTAAAGCTACAGTAATTGTGCTTACTTAAAGGACTTTTTCCTATCATTAGTTAAAAGCTGTTAAATAAAAAAAAAGAAGAAATTTCTAATCTGCAGTTGTGTTCCACATCTATTCTACTTGTGACATAACAGATGCATTCAGAGCATGCAAAATAGACTGCCAATGTTTCCCTATGGATCAGCCAGAGCAAAATGGTGTGCCGGGGGAAATAAGGTACGTTTTTATTAGTTGTATCCCAAACCTAACAAGATTGTAGAAAACTCTTTATGAATGCATGTTTATATTCCTAAAGCTAGAGTGTTCCTTTAATGTGACTTTTATAACGGGGTTAAATAAGTATCAGAGGAACATAATTCTACTCTTACTGTACCACAGAACAGAGTGAGAAAAGCTTACAAACAGGGAAAAAAAATAAAATTAACCTCTTTGTTAGCAGTACAGAAAAGCCACAGATTGTCTGGTAAGCAAAAAAAAAAAAAAAAAGCTCTCATATGAAATAGATGTTTGTGGTTTCTATTCATATACACATTTTTTATTTGTATTATGGTTCTGTTTATATTTTTGTGGACATGGACATAATATTACAAAAAGAATTAAGAGCCAATGGAATACTTGTGGTACAGAATGCAACATGTTACTTGTAATAGATTAGTAATTAGGACCAACCTCACGGGTCCCTCGCAGAGAGCTTACAGAAGTCATAATGTGTACAGGTTGGATCCTTCGTTGTTTCCATTCTTGGTTTAAAATCTCCGTTCGTTCCAAAATCTTTTGCCGATTTGAGTTGAACATGCTCTACAAAAAAACAAAAAACAAACAGGGATTTGAAAAAAAACTTGCAATGGCAATAATTATGTTCTGAAGTCTTTGTTTTCATTAATCTTAAACCTTAAGACGGAGCAAGAAGTTTAGTTTGCCATCTAGTTATTCAAATAACTGCTGGTCTAGGACAATATTTACACAATTGTTGGCAAATATAAACAAATGTTTAGATATAAATGAAAGTGCTGGGAAATCAATTTTTGATATTCAGAAATAAAAATAATAAATAACAAAATAAAACATTTGTTGGCAAATGATATAGTACCAATATTACACTAGTGCTAATGTGCCAACATAAACCTATATCCAATGTACTACATGGTTTACTTAAAGGACCACGAAAGTCACCCAGACCACTTCATCTCAATGAAGTGGTCTGTGTACAATGGTCCTCTAAATTTGCAGTTTAAAAAACAAAACAAAAAAAAAAACATTGCAAGGTTAAATCCACCTCTACTGACAGTCTTCATTACAGCCACTAGAGGCGCATCTGCAGCACTAACCTAGTAAAACAGGGTCACATGATCATTGAGCACAATGTTTTTATATTGGAAAGCACAGGAGTGTGCAGTGCATGTGCCTCAGGTCCCCAGTACTCCGCTATAAAGAGTATTAGATTGGACCAATGACGGAGGAGGCCATACCTCCTTGATAACATTGTAAGAGGAGAGAAGCGACAAGTGAGTCTCAGCACTGCCAAAATGTGAATACTGCAAAGAAGGTGCCTGCATATCACTAGAAACAGGTGCACAATAGCATTAGGAATACAGGTTTGAATTCCTAACGCTATACTGTCATTTTAAACACGATCTCAAACTCACTTAAAATTCCCAATAAATCATGTTTCAGTGAAGAACTACGCATGTCAATACAAATAGAGAATTAAGACTAAAAAAGGATATTAGGGTTCATAATGCTGAAAGGAAGCAAGGGAGAAAACACAATACCCTAACTTGTATTCTAATGTTAGCGTGTCCCTTTAAAATGTCTCTCCCAGTCTGAGGTTTTTCCATATTCTGCAAAAAGCCCTGATGGTGACTGCTCCATTGGGAGTTTCATGGCAGCAAGGTGCAGAGGAAAGTGGGGTTTATTTATCAGAACCGGTCGCTTGTGGCCGCAGCCATGGTCTTCTTGACTGTTCTTTTCAACTCCTAGTAGTCCTTACTTTGTCTTAGTATATCTTTTGACTGAGTCGGAATTTCAGTGAAATTTCAACGCAGTCAACGTGAGTATTTCATTTTTTCTTTTTCTTTATGAAATACTAATTTTGGGTGGAGGGGTGAAAGCATTTTTAAGACACATGAATGTCAATTTGGAAAATAAATCTGTGATAGAGCACCTTACCTGTTATTGCATTTAGGAACATTACTGAGTTCAGTCTATGTGAACAATTTTAAAAAGAATTACAATACCGTAAGTGTAACAGGGACCTGAGCCTATAATTTTTTATATCTTATTAAAATTTGGACTGTAGCTCATTTGTTGTGCTAATCAGTACCCTATGTACTAGGATTAGTGATATAATACAAATTCAACTGTATGGGTGCAATGTATATGTCAGAGAGAGCAAAGCATGACTGTACTCAAATTTTGTATTTGTTAAAGATTGTTTTTTTTTTTTTTCTGCTTTTCACTGGTTCATTGCACTGAACCAAGAACTTTAACAGTATAAGATGACCATTTTTAAGCTGGGCAAGAAGAAAACACCAGCCCTGAAAGTGTTTTAGATTAGTTGCAATCCATTTAGTATTCATGCATCACATGTTTCTTATCTTTCGGTACCTTTACTTCATCTGCTCTCCTGAATCGCTTGAGCTGTCTCAAACGCATGTACTCCGATTTCACTCGTTTCCGCCAGCACACTGGTCCCTTCTCTGATCTCTTGCCCGTCTGGCCCATGATTATGCTGCAATATTTACAAAAATATGGGATTTACTTGTTCAGTAGTGACGTTCGATTAAATGAAAGGTATACTGTAGTTAAATGTAATATGTATCATAATATAAATTATTTTAAAGCAGGTTTAAAAATAAATATACACATAAAATAAATTTTCAATTATATTTTAATTACTTCTGTATTATGATAGTCTTCATCACAAGGGTTTTAAACACATTTGGACAGAATAATTATGATATTCTTAACCCATTCAAAGAGTTTTTACACACACTTTTATTTTTAAAGGCTCATTTGGGTATAGAAAGCCAAGGTAGTATACAGTCCATAATATCCATCCAATTACAGCCACTGAAGACAACAATGCACAAAGTGAATGTTTCACACATGTCATAAAAGGTAAAAAGACCTGAGCTCTGTGGAGGTTTAGCAATCAATTTAAAGGGGAACAGACACTTTAATTTACACACACACACACAAAAAAACCTAACAATTACATAAATAAAATATTGGAAACCACCCATAGATTGTGTTAACTCCTCCCAACCCCCCTTTTTCCTCATGAGATGCTATTTCCATTTAAATTCATATCAAATATTTTTTTTACAAAAACATTGCAAATGAAGCTGGTAAAGAAAAGCTTTGGTAAATTTGTACTCTTCTCTGTATGCTTTCTCTAAATTGACTGCCAGGTGTAAAGGACAGAACTTGGTTGGTTTAAAAATGCAGCTAAAATGGAGGCACTCAGTTGTAGGAAGAATCTTTATTTTTTTATATTTTGCCTTTATTTTTCCATCTCTCACACGAATAATATATATATACATATATACATACACACACACATATATACGCTCTGAAGTTTAGTCATCTTTTAAAAATGACAAACAGAAGTATGTATTATTTGAAAGAAAATACCTTAAAATGCTTGTGGACAAAAGAGATTGCAAACTGTTGCATGGCACTACCATGATGCTTTGAACTTAATATATTCAATACAAATAAAAAAAAATACTTATTTAAAATACTTAAAGGAAAACTACAAGCACCATAACTGCTACATCCTGCTTTAGTGTTTATGGTGCCACTGCACAGTCCCATGGCAAGATGTCAAACCCTTTTAGTACAGTTTGACAACTTACCCACGTCTCACCAAGCACCCAAACTGAATGTCCCTGTAGAATAAAGAATTGCTGAAGCAGGGTTCTGCATGGACCTGCTTTGCTCTAGAAAGCAAATCAGATTCTCATATAGTCTGAAAGCAGATATATCCAGATAAAGACAGTTGTTCACTGCTTCTGCAGCGGGAGAGAATCGTGTAAAAATAGATATTGTATCCAGGTCACATAGCGGGTTGATCAGAAAACACATTTATACAATTCAGCTGAATTGGTTAAGAAGTAGCTAGCACTGGATGACTTAAACAAAACAAAACCAAACATTCCACTAAAATCCTCTGAACCCATGGAAGCAGTGCTGGACTAAAAACGTGACTTTTTGCCCCCATTGAAGGAGTAATTACTCAAGTGGATTTAGAAAATAAAAGGTCATCAGTATTTTAGTAAGGCACTCAATCTGCACATGGCAGACTCCATATTTATGGAAGGGTCCTATAAAATTATATGTACAAACATTTTGGGAGACAACGATTTGTCTGTGAGAAATAATTTCCACTCCCATATTTCCTTCCGGAGCAGGATACTGCTGTAAAACACAACAGGACCTAAAATGTACTCCTTTGCCAGAGGGAAGCCAATAAATGCACTGAAACATTCATGCTATATAGAATCAACTTTCTAGATTAACTATAGTGTTTTTCTAAATGTATCCTTACTTTGAAATGGAGGGAGACAGGAGATATTTTATGTATGCTAGTTAATAGACGCACAACAGACAAACGTACCATTATTCTCTACAAGTGAGGAGTTATTTAACCTTGGTTATTACCTATATTGTACACCATATAGTCTGAAGGTTAATGCTACTTACACTAGTTGGCTTAGAAGTGCTTATTTTTGCCACATGTTATACAACTAGAAATTGTTTTTTTTTTCCAGTTTGATTTCTTTCCCTTACAATTTTATTTGCAATTGGTTAATTTTATTCCACTCTAGAGTTTAAAGTTGATGCATGTATTATTTATGTATACAAATCAACACACTTGAGCAATGGTTCTGAAAAGCAGCATGACCAAGCATTTTTGTAAAAAAGAAATTTTTCATTTTATTTTTAAATGGGGTCTCTGGGAGTTAACCCACTCAAATAAATAATGAAGTTGCCTTTAACATGTAAAAACACATTTCCCAATTTTCTTTTAAGATGTATATTAAAGATTTAGCTATTTAGTTATTTCGCCATTTATTTCTATTTTCCATACAATGAAATATCTTAGGATGGTCAAGTCCCCTGTCACTTCTCTGGAATTTACACCACTGAATATCTTGTGCTAGCCCATTTTCATGAGATGTTCCATAATCTTTGAAAAGGAAATCAAATATTTCACAGAGATATCATTAATGGACCACTATAGGCACCCAGACCACTTCAGCTTAATGAAGTGGTCTGGGTGCCAGGTCCAGCTAGGGTTAACCCCTTTTTTTATATAAACATAGCAGTTTCAGAGAAACTGCTATGTTTATAAATAGGTTAATCCAGCCTCTAGTGGCTGTCTCATTGACAGCCGCTAGAGGCGCTTGCGTGCTTCTCACTGTGAAAATCACAGTGAGAAGATGCAAGCGTCCATAGGAAAGCATTATGAATGCTTTCCTATGAGACTGGCTGAATGTGCGCGCAGCTCCTGCCGCGCATGCGCATTCAGCCGAAGAGGAGAAAGAGGTAAGCGCCCAGCGCTGGAGAAAGAAGTAAGTTTAACCTATTCCTCTCCCCAGAGCCCGGCAGGAGGGAGACCCTGAGGGTGGGGGCACCCTCAGGGCACTATAGTGCCAGGAAAACGAGTATGTTTTCCTGGCACTATAGTGGTCCTTTAAGCCTGTGTGTGTTTAGTTTCATTGTCCTTTTGAAAGGTGAAACATCGTCTGAGGTCTGGAGCAGTGTGTACCAGGTTTTCGTTAAGGATATCTTCTTCTTTATGTTCCTGCGTTCAGCTTTCCCAGACCCTGACCAGTCTCCTAGCCCATGCAGCGAAAAAACACACAGAAAGTATAACACTACCTCCCACTTTCATGATTTTTGTAGTGAGAAAAGGATTGTGTGGCCAGCCTGACAAACTAATCGGTTGAGTGATGGTTGTCCTTCAGCAGGTCTCTGGAGATCACTCAGAGTAACCATCAGGTTCTTGATCACTTCTCTTAGCATGGCCCTACTCCCCAGATTGCTCAGTATGGCCTTGTCAACAACTGTAGCAAGAATTCTTGCTGTTACACACTTCCTATGTCTAAGATTTATAGGTGCCACTGGGCTCCTGTGAAACTTTAATGCAACCAACATTTGGCCTCAAGGCTCTGTTTTTGCTCTGATATGCATTTACAACTATGGTACCTTAAACCATGTCCAATCAATTGAATGTGCACAGGTGAAAAATCCTCCACAAAAAAATGTGATGCATCAGAGCTAAATTTCAAAAGGCACAGGAAGTGATATAATTACTCATGTTATATTTCAGGTTTTCTTTCTTTCTAACAATGTAGCAAAGTTTAAAAAAAATGTTTTTTTACTTTGCCAATAGAATTTAAACAATTACAGAACAAGACTGCAACATATAAAATGAAGTAGTCTAAATAATTTCTGAATGCACTGTGTGTGTACACACACACACACACACACACACACCATTTTTAGTAACAGAATAAAAATAAATCACTGTCCTCTTATTAAGAGAGAGTTTCTCATTTGTCCATGGAAATTTCAAGACTAATTGAATAATCAGCACAAGACAATATTTCCCTCTAAGAGGTTTTCACTTATGGAGGAGTAATTTAAAATCATGAATATATCCATGGGAAAATCTGACCCAACCCACATGTTGTGGTTTGTCTAGGGTTTGTTTTTGTTTAAATTTATAATCTTTGATTATGCTTTTTTTTTCCCCCAGTCAAGGCTATTAAAACCAGAAACCAAACACTTGAAATCAACAGGCTACTGATCTGTATTAACTGCTAGCTAGGAATATTTGAGAAATCCTAACAGAGAAATGTTATATTGAAAACTAAAAATAAACAAATCACCGATAGCTAAACTGTGCCTTCCTAAACACTTGAACAAAAGTGTCTAAGTAGCTAACTGATAAAAAGCTAAAGAGCAGTCTGTGATTTGGTTGGTTAGAAGGTCATTATAAAATCGGTCAGAATACCAAGGTGAAGTTCTGGATAAGTTATGCCGGGATCCGTGCATCTCTCCAAGCAAAGAACAGAACCGAGCCCCAATGTGCGTGTGCTCAGATCAGTAGCTCCATGGCCTCTACATGCTGTGACACAGAACAGGGTTTAGAGCTATTAATATATAACACAGTTTAGTAAATAATCCTTCATTTTTGAGCAAACCTAGTTTCTTCAGCAATACTTTCTTATCCTAAAGGGTTTTATAGTGAAATAAGGTGGTAGAAACTTTGTTGCTCTTTTGTGACTTTGGATACTATTTGACTATCCTGTGTTTAACAGCTAATGCTGTTCTTGGCTCTGAATCTGTAGTATATGTTAGAGGGCACTTTTATCTCTGCATGTACTTGTAGATAACTTTAGTTATTGGCTTTTTTGTTTCTCTTTTCCTCTATTATCCTGTTTCTTTGGAAACATTCTGTATGTTTGATTGACTTTATGTGTAAAATATTAAAAGTTAAAGGAGCACTATAGTGTCAGGAAAACAAAGCGGTTTTCCTGACACTATAGTGCCCGGAGGGTTCCCCCACCCTCAGGGTCCCCCTCCCGTGGTGCTGAAGGAATTAAAAGGGGTTAATTTAAACGTTAAAACCCCTTCAGCAGCTTACCTTATTCCAGCACCCGGGCTCCCTCGGCGCTGGTGACCTCTCCTCCCCCGGCCGTCAGAGGATCCGAAATGCGCACGCGCGGGAAGTGCCGCACACGCATTCAAAGTGTCCATAGGAAAGCATTTCTCAATGCTTTCCTATGGACGCTCTGCGCGATGGAGGCATAATGTGCCTCCAGCGTCGAAGATGCGCCTCTAGTGGCTGTCCAGAAGACAGCCACTAGAGGCTGGCTTAACCCCAAATGTAAACATAGTTTCTCTGAAACTGCTATGTTTGCATCTGAAGGGTTAAAACTTGAGGGACCTGGCACCCAGACGACTTCATTGAGCTGAAGTGGTCTGGGTGACTATAGTGTCCCTTTAAGTTTTATTTCAAACCTACCACACAATCCAGAAAAAACAACAACTTTTTATTCTTCACTTAAAGTAGTCTTGGTGCTTAGAGTATCTCTTTAAACTACAAATTTCTATTAATTGGAACTTTTAAAGAGACAAATGGAGGGGAGAGTGTGTTAACCCTTAACACACAAGCACAGTGAAGTACATTAAGGGAATGGAATATCCCTTTAAACATGTATTGTATAGAGGCAAGCAACACCTCACCTAGCACATATGCTATTTTCAAATGTTCATTCAATGAAAAAAAAATACAATAAAATAAATGTTGAAGCAACTTTCCACATTGACTGCAATATGAAATACTCAACGTTTTGTCATGGGAAATCCCAAAAGCCTTAATGTATTTCTAGATGAAGTATCTACTCATATGAATGAGAAGGAAAGTCCGATTAACCTGTGAAGTCATCAGTTTCCTGTGACAACGAGTCAATAGTTACATTTCCACCTATAGAAAGGAACACCACTAAACTCTTTCCTCTTCCATTTTTATTAAGAGAAATGTAGGAAAGAACTAATTTTGCACTAGACAGCGCACACACTGCTACAGACATAAAAAAATTTCAGTTACACTTATGTTTTATAGATTTGGAGGTAAAATGGCAGCTTTATCCCACCTCTCATATCAGCTAAGTAGTGCTAGATTTTTATAGTCTAGTATGCAGAATGACAATGAAGTTTAAAGTGTATTAGCCAATAAGGGTGTTAAAGTTAACCTATCATGACAGATATAGTATGGTTATTTCAGTAGAACTTTAATATATGCAAGTTTGTGTGTACGTACACTGATCAGATTTAACGTTTGTTGGGTGTGCAACTAGCCCCCAGTACACAATTAAGAATTAGTCTGGATGTGCAGTGTGTGAATCAGAAATACTGCACATTGACTCCTACCAACATGATCACATCAAATCACTGATGTGTTTACGGCAGTTGGAGTAACCTCTTAAGTGTTTTAGAAGGGTCTGGAATGTCCCTTTAAGAATGCTGTATAGTGTAGGATTGTTACACATCTGATCGGAACAAAGTTTTATACACCTATAAAGCACATCACAGCTTTGGAAGCGCTACATGGCCAGCATACAGGTGGACAGCATGTCAACTAAACCAAGCCTTGACAAATTCGCTTGGAATCTAGGAGCCGGAGAAATCAACGCCAAAAATACAATTCTTAAAGAGACACTATAGTCACCAGAGCCACTACAGCTTAATGTAGTTGTTCTAAAGTCTATATCCTGTCCCTGAACACTTTTTAATGTAAACTAACAAAAGGCAGTGTTTACATTGCTGCCTGGTGACACCATAAGCGACAGTCACTCAGACGGACTCTAGAGGTTTTTCCTGGGCAAGTGCTTCACACTGTGCAGTACCTACGTTAATGTTCCCTATAGGGATGCATTGATTCAATGCATCTCTATGAGAAGTTAAATTGGCGCAGTGGCATTGCCGTGCATGCGCAATAGTCTCGCAATGCTTTCCTATGGGACTGATGATCTCAGCCATGTAGGTGGGGCCAGCCGTGGCATCATCAGCACGGCATGGGATAAAAAGGTGAGTAAAAACATCTTTTCCCATGTGGTTGGAGGTAACACTCACTGACCGACACACTCACATAATGACTTTAAAAAAAATAATTTAAATCCACCCAGTCTCCCTACCCTTGGAGAGCTGGGGTGGATAGGCTTTCCTTGGGGTCCAGTGGGGCTGCTGTCATCTCCCTGCTCAGCTCCCTCTCGCACTGTTCCCAGCATCACTGCAAGGTTTGTGAGGGAGCAGAGCAGGGAGACTACAGCCGCCTCCCTCAGCAATAAATGAGCCGGCCGCCCCAAACCCTCCGTCAGCCGCCTGCCTGCCTCTGCTCTCAAGCAGCTAGTCACCTTGGGGGCTGAACAGGCTCATAAACCACAGGACAACATTTTCTGGTCACCATGACAACCTGATGCCTGGTATTTGTCAAGCCCTGAACTAAACAAATATCTTTTTCATAGGAACAACCTTTGAGAGTCTACAGTTTTGTAAAGGAACACAAACATGTATCCTAAACATCTAGCCCCCCTGAATATTATAAAATCTTACTTTTATTCAAGTCTGCAGCTACTGCCTCTACCCCTGATCTGCCTACTTGGTTAACATCAGATGTTCTAAGCCAATCACAATGCTTTCCCATAGGATTGGCTGAGCTGGTCAAGGAGACAGATCAGGAGCAGAGCCAAACACAGCCCTGGCAAACAGCATTTCCTCATAGAAATGTATTGAATCAATGCACCTCTGAGGAAAGTTCAGTGTCTCCATGCAGAGGGTGTGCAGCACTGTCCCAGGAAGCATCTCGAGCAGCCGTCTGAGGAGTTGCCAGTGGAGTATTCCATAGGCAGTAATGTAGACACTGCATTTTCTCTGAAAGGACAGTGTTTACTGAAAAAAAGACCCTGAAGGGACGGATTATACTAACAAGAAAAAAAAAAAAAAAAAAAGTTGTAGTTGTTCTGGTGACTATATAAATATATATATTTTTCATAACTGTTGTATTATGCAACTAAAAGTGTAATAAAAAATTAAATACACCCCCACCATGTTTCAAAATATGTAATATCAGACAGAACACAGCAAAGCAAGTAGAAAAAAAAGCAACTGACATTTTACCCCTCTCTTTCAAGCCTAGACATCCATGTTTCATTGGGGCACACCCAGCTTTCCTGATCTGACTAAATGCTAAACCTGCACATTTCAATTCTATATTTCACTGCCTAATTGTCTGGCTTGATTAACATCTACCTTTGCATTCATGTTAAAGAAAAGAAAATGAAATTAGTGTACATTTCTGTTCTGCAATTTGACAAAATTTATAAGCACAAAGGAAAAAAAGAAGAAAAAAAAATTATGTATATTTTGCATTGAAGAGAGAAACCATAAAATGTAACCAAACTCCATGGAAAAATAATGGGATTAAGATTCCCGTCGATTTCAACTCACCAGTTGGGATCATGAACTTTACTGATATTCAGGATAGATACAATCTATCTAATAAATAATCTTTTAACATACTTAAGACTAAAACTTTTTGAAGAAAAGCTCTATTATTGAGAATTCCTTTTTAGACAATTTTATAGCAAATCACTATAACCTAGTATCTAGAGTTATTAAACTAATGGATACAGTCTCAGAAGTAGTTAGAGCATCCTCACTGATCAAATGGGACACTGATTTAGGGGAAACAATTACAGATGATAAATAGTATAAAGCCTGGTCCACTACAAGAAAATCAATACATTCTGTTAATTTGTTGCAAGTGCATTTAAAGATAATTCACAGATGGTATATGGTCCCTACAAGGATGCATAAAATCAATGTATCCAAGTCAGAAACATGTTGAAAATGTAAACACCAGGGTAATATGCTTCATATATGGTGGGAATGTGAAGGTCTTGAAAAGATAAAACTTAACTTTCACTCTTTAATTTGGAATGTCTTTGGTATTAAAATATTGGTTACTCCGCAGTTCTTATTCCATATGGATATGCCGAGACTGACCAAACCTAAAAACCTCATTCTCAAATTTTCTCTTGGCATTTAAGATCTTCACTAGGTACTGGCATTAAACAGAAATTCCCCATTGGAACGAAATCATAGCTTAATCAGTTTGATATGAAAAAATATTTTTTATGTGCTCAACTCTATGATGGATAGATACGAAGTGGTTTGGCAACCCTGGAGTACATATATAAATAAATCGGAGATCTTGACTATATGACTGACTAAAATAACAAAAAAAATTTAAACAAAATGGACACCTCCCTTGTCCACAACAACCTTTGACTCCGCGATGGAGTGACCTTGACCCTATGACCATAATCTAAAATATGTCCATGTTAATGTAAAGTTTTAAAGATTTAAATCATTGAAATTGGTAAATCATCAAAGAGAGCATACAATCACAAATACACTGTAAACTGTGAGGTTTGGAAACGCTTATTAGTATAATTTGTTCACTGAAACACATTGTTTCTCTCTTCTTTGACACAAAAATGAATAATAGAAAAAACCCCAAAACTATTTAAAACCCAAAAAAAGCAACTGACATTTTACCCCTCTCTTTCAAGCCTAGACATCCATGTTTCATTGGGGCACACCCAGCTTTCCTGATCTGACTAAATGCTAAACCTGCACATTTCAATTCTATATTTCACTGCCTAATTGTCTTGCTTGATTAACATCTACCTTTGCATTCATGTTAAAGAAAAGAAAATGAAAATTAATCTGACTATTCGGAATTTTTTCTTTCAGGACCCAACTAAAAGGGTCAGTTCTAGGCACCATCACAACTTTACATCACTGCATAGGGATATGGAGTTTAAATAACGCCCGACGACTGGGACATGCAGTTCCAGGCGCCAGGCAGGACGATTTTTTTTTTCTTTTAGTCCGGTCGCTGTCTTGGGGGAATAATGCCAGTCAGTAAGTGTTTCTGTGGCATGTGCAGGGTCAGACTGGCTCAAGACTAATGGCTGCTAAGAATGAGAGTGACGTCTTATCCCGGAGGCCAACATGATGTAAAATACAAAGACAACATGGGACAAGCTGCTGGTAATCTGTGCATGTCAGAGAATGTGTAGTTTGTGTGTATGGGTCAGTGTGTGTTGGTGGATAGGTGCTGTGTATTTGTATCAGTGCATCACAGCCACATAAAACCAGCACACACAACATACAACAGGGCTTGACAATTTCTCTTTGAATCTAATGGACAGCAAAAATATAAATATACTACCAAAGCTTTATTTTCAACAGCAAATATACCATTATTAAAGGAACACAGTCACAAGAACCACTACAATTTAATGTAGATAATCTGGTGTCTATAGCCTGTCCCTGCAGGCTTTTCAATGTAAACACTGCCTTTTTAGTTAAAAGGCAGTGTTTACATTACTGCCTAGTAACACCTCTAGTGGCAGTCACTCAAATAACCACTAAACATAGCCCGCATTCGCCCCTTTCTTACGCAAGATGCTACCAAGGAGCTTGTCCATGCTCTAGTAATGTCTTGCATAGATTATTGTAACCTTCTCCTAATTGTAGCGGGACAATGTAGTTTTTGGGATAACCAGTCTGTAATGAATGCTGCTGCCAGTTTGATTTTCATCTCCAGTCGGTGCTCTCCCATCTCACCCCTCTATCAGTCCTTACATTGGCTTCCTGTATCCTATAGGAGTTAATTTAAAGTACTAATCAATACCGATATAAAGCATTGAACAATTCCAGCCCTGCTTATAACTCTTTACAGATCCACTCTGCCCATGAAATTCTCCTGCCTGCTGCTCGCACCCATACGGCCAACTCTCGCTTGCAGGGCTTCTTGCGGGCGATTCCCTTCCTATGGAATAGCTTGCCTACCGCCATCAGACTCTCCCCTAGTCTTCAATAGTTTAAAAAGTGCCTTAAAACCAAATCTCTTTAGGAAAGCTTATGGCCTCCCAGAGTAACCTCTAAGTCATATTATTGTCCCTTGCTCTCTCCTAAGAGCTGCACTCTTCTCTCTCCTCCAGCTCTGCTTCACACCCACCTTATTGAATTGCCATCTCCTGTCCTATTGTGTTTTATACATGGCATGAAGGTGCCAAACTTTTCCCTTAAAGATGCATTGTTTCAATTAATCTCCATGGGGAGATGCCAACTGGTGCAGCATATTGCCACACGGGCTCAATAGCTTCCAATGCTTTCCTGAGGGAAAGCATTGGATTGGCTGAGAGCTTCAAGATTGATAATCTCAGTCTTGGAGGCGGACCAGCCACAGCGAGATAAGCACAGTGTTGGGAAAAAAGGCAAATTAAAACATCATTCCCATGCAATTGGAGGAAGGCTGGCTAACTAAACACACACTAACTTGACAGACATGCTTTCACACACTAGAAGTATTTTGTTTTTATTTGACACACAAACATTCATAGATACATGTAGACAAATAGAAATACAGACAACAAATACACACCTAAAAATACAAATTTTTTGGCTACACTCTTGTTTTCTACCTTTTGGGCACGGAGGGTGGCAACAGCAGGTGACATTAAAGTTAATGGGGTTGGCTGCGGCTGATGGGAGTGGGCTGTCGCTGGTCCAGACACCCCCTCCCCTCCTTTCTCTCTAAGCCCATGCAGCTCTCTGTGCTCCAGGTCTGCACCAGGAAATGGGCAGGCTGCTGTATGTAATGAAGGCGTGGGGCAAGCAGAGACGTCTTTACCTGGTGCCCTGCCAGCTTGTCCTTTTCCATGCGCGGCCTCAACGCCAGGCAGAAGTAATAAAAGTTCCCTTCATTTATTCCCAGTGCGCGGAGAGCTACACAGGGATAGAGAGGAGGAATAGGCTGACAAATTCCCAGGCGCCATGGCGACCTGGTATTTTCAAACACTGACATACAGCCAGCGCAAGCACACAGCAAACGATTGATCTTGTGTTAATAGCATCACAGAAACAAAATGGCCACACAGGTGTAACTATTTACATAAAATATACATCAAAGTATTTACAAAAAAGGGTATTTTGACACTTTACACTGACAGACTGTGAATCACTGCTAAATATTGTAGTAAAATAGTTTTTTTTTTTCCTTGAGGTTTTGACATACAAGGAATGTTAATGTGTAGTTTGTAAAACTGATGTTTACAACTCCAGTACAAAACCTTATTTTGTGCTCAGCTATATCTATGGACTACTACAGTACCCCCCAATGCCTTTGCCACAATCTTTGAAGCTAAAGTGCCAGATAAGTCCAGACCACTTTTACATTTTTTACAATTAAAATCTTGATAGAAGAATATGATGGGCCTGTGTCTCATTCTGGGGCATTATAGCCATTTGACTGTTCAAGTTACCCCACAAAGGGCTAACATTTGTGTAGGTTGACACTCCAAGGTATATGTTGTATATTGCAGCTTAACGTGATTTTTTTCACCAGGCCAGTAGTGAAGTGTTGCACACATTGGCAATGTAACAGAGCACTGTGGTAGAGGTCTGCTAACATCCAAAATGCACCAAAAAGTGAAGGGTCATAGGCTGCACAAAGACAAAAACAGATACATTCGGCCATGAGGCCTTATCTGTTTTGTCCTTGATTCCACAATAACCCTATCTGGATAGTCACCATATGCTGTGCAGCCTGTGGCTTTGCACTTCGGGATGACTTTTTCACCAGTTTATGATTATCATGTGTTTCGATCACTTTTTTGTGACGTTTAAAAAATAAATAAAAAAAAGTTATTATAAAAGTATTTTAATTGTGTATATGTCATACTATATAGCTATGTATGTTTTGGCACTTTATGACAATAACATATGATCATGTGATGCAGACATTAATTACCCGCAAATTTCAAATGTCTACATATAAAAAAATTTGGCCTCATGTACGAATAAGATACCTACTCTGATTATCTCTTTACTAGTTGTGAACTTTCTTTACTATAGAGCAGTGATGGCGAACATTTTTGAGCCAGAGTTTCCAAACCGCAATACAAACCAACTTTTTTCCCTCAAAGTGCCAACACGGCAATTAACCCTGATAACTTTTTTTTTTTTTATTCACTTTTTTTTGCCACCCAGTCTCCTTACCTGTAGGAGCACTAGGGCGGATTTACAGTTCCCTGGTGTCCAGTGTGGGCTGCTGCTGTGCACCTCTGATGGAGCTCTGATCAATATGAGCACTCCCTGTATAGCTCCCTTGTGCATCCTGGGCCGGAATGACATCACATTCCTGCTCCTGGGGTCTCTACAGGGGTGCTATACAGGGAGTGCTCACATGGAGCTCCCCTGCTGGCCATACACATCCCATCTGCAAGTGGTGCGCATCAGGCAGGCTGACACTCGGCGCTGAGCAGCATATTTCAAGTAGTTGCTCAGCGCCAAGAGAGAGCATGAGGAGACCCTCACACCTAGCGCACTACCACATGACAGCATATTTGGAGGGGGTATTGGCTCCCACTGACCCCCACAACTCCACTGCCCCCCACCTTCTGGCACACAGGTGTGGTGCACCCGCACAGGATTGGCCCTGCTACTATGCATTGCCGCTGGGGGGCCAAATGCTGCTGACCAAAGTGCTCGGTGTGCCAGCTGTGGGTTTGCCATCACTGCTATAGAGCATCTCCCGTGTTTTTAATATGCTGGGGATCCATTACAACAGGACTCCCAACTCAAGCATCCACAATCAAGGATGGTACTGCTCAAGCATAACAAGTAGAGATGACTAATATATAAAGTAAGTGCATTCCTTTATTCCTATTATTTACTCCCATATCAGCACATTCTACACTATTGCATCCCTATTTTTTTTTTTTTTGCTTCCACATATTGTGCACCTTGGGACACAACACCCAGACTTGATGCAAGTAACTAATATTTTTGCCAGGAAGAGAGACTTCTGGTCTGGAGGATTGTGCCGACTAGTAAAAATCAGAGGACTTTTTTTTTATTCCAGCTTTATGTACTAGTTTCTATATAGTATACCTTGTATTATATAATCATATTAGCACAAATTAGAGATCAGGCCCCTGCAGTATCATTGCTCAGTTCACTGTCATTTAGTTTAAATCACTGTTTTTGTTAATGCAGGCCTAGCCACATCTCCCATGGGTGCAAAAAAAAAAAAAATCTGGTTTCATTTGCAATTAAATGTAACTTACTTTAGAAGTTTTTAATCTAAATTGAACTTTACAGAAAGCTACTCCAGGGTATAACAAGGTATTAACAGTGCAGGAGATAAATTCTAAATTAAACAGATTTTGCTATAAGGGAGGAAGACTCTTTACAGGAGGTGTTTAGGAAAGATGTGTAAGTTACATGCAGGGAGGTGTGACTAAGGCTGCATTATCAAAGTGATTTAATTACTAAAAAAAGGCAAATAATTAAGTAGGGAGACTGCAGGGACATTATCTATACAACAAAACTACTTCAGTAAGCTAAATATTTTCTGGTGACTATAGTATGCCTTTAATTGTAAGGCAGCACTGACACTTATGAGTTTTTCCATAATGACCACTCATTAAAAAAACTCAACCTGGATTGGATGTGGCAAAAAAAATAAAAGTGAAGAGGCAGCTTTGACCACCACAATAGCAACATAAGAATAAACCAGTAACATTGGATCCAGACCAATGAGATGAAGATAGAGTGATAGAACATGCCTTGCCAATCTCCTGCGAGAAGTCACCATAAAGGCAGACATGTCACCTTGACAGTTCTACAAGTGACAGTACCGCTAAAGACTGAAAAGAAAAACCAATAACCCATGGCATTCTTCTGAACATGAAGAAAGAACTAATATGGTTTGAAAGATCAAGCTGGGATGGTGCCAGGGAACTCATAGTACCAAAACCACTACAATGAGCTGCAGTGTTCATAGGGATTCTTTAAACTATTTAACTTGGGCAATTACCTGGGGCTTCAAAAAAAATGCTTTGACAGTTGCACCAATTGGTGATCCACTGAAATATCATGAAGACCCCCCAAAAATATTGTTGCAAGTGAAGAGGAAGTGTGGCAGTATTATGAGTGCCACAAAATTATATCAGTAGCTTAGAGTTTAAGAGTCATTACCCTTCTATTTCCCACCAAAAAGCATTTAACAGATCATAGTATATTCAATGAGCCATATTACTATAACCTTGTAATAAGAGCAAAAGTATTGCAAACATGTCATATTTCAATTTTAATAATGTTTGTGTTTAGACTGTTCCTATTTTAGAAAAAGCTTATTTAACACAATATGGTTTACTGAAAAGTTTTAAAAAGGACAATTAACATCTACAAGAATCGCACCTGTCAAACCTTCAGTAGAAAAAAACCCGTAAAGTTTAAAAACAAAAGGAGGAAGACAAATATATAGTTACTTTAACTATTAACAGACTTACAAAATTCACGTTAATAAACCTGTTAAAAATGTGTAGGTTTGGTTACTTTTATGAAGTTATGCTATGCAGGAAAAAAAGAAAAACAAATACATTAAAATATAAATCCTTAAACCTTGTGAAGAGGATACAATGAAACAATCTAAGTTTTGCTATGTATGAGTGACTTGTTCAAATTTATGCTCATCAACATTGCAAGTGTTGATTTTCTAGGGGAGGGGGAAGTCAGTGTAAGCATTTAAGTTTCACTACATACTAGAATCTATATCCAATTCCTGGTGACCTCTCTTAGCAAGTAGTCGTGCCACCATATTGTTTTTTAAGCTATATGTTAATTTCAAATAAGAGTAAGCTCCACTGCCAAATCAGCCCACCAATAGTTATTTATGATTCTATTAAATGAATAGCAAGGGAACACCTTGCCAAGAGAACACACATTATCATGGGGTGCTTGTACCGAAAGTATTACACTTTTTTTTTTTGTTCTTCACTTCCTACGCACAGATCCTCAGTGAGCAGTATGATCGGGAAATGCACACATTATGCTCTACACCCAAAGCCCACACAGCCAGTCACACAGCCATTCACCCAGCCCTGAACTAGAGACATACAAGCACACATTGCCCGGGGGAGCAATGCAGCAGGTCCTGTATAACACTCACTCACTCACTCTCTCACTCACACTCTCCATTCTAACTCCCTGGAGGAGCATTACCCAAGGTGCCCCTGTACCTGCAGACCCCCATTCACAGAGCCTGGGAGCCCCTCCTCCTCCACTGCCGGGGGCAGCCCCTTTGTCCTCGTCTGCACTCACCGATAGCCCATATCCCAGCCATGCACACCACAACCAACCGCTATTACCGTGTGCGCGACTTGACGGTCCTCCGTTTCTACTTCCTCCTCCTCCGCCGTTCCCTCCGCCTGCAGTGACCCCCCCCTAACACTAACACACACTACCCGCCGGTCCCGGGCGCCAAACTAACCTCCCTGTCCCCTCCCCTCTCCCAGCCTGGAGACACGCCCACACCGGTGCCTAGCCCAGCCTTCTCCCATTGGCTGAGCAAGCGGCGCCCGGCTCGCCGCACACCAATAGCAAAGCAAAGAGGGAAACGAAGCCGGCGCCAGCCCCGCCCTCTCTCCGTCCGCCGTGCACTCGGGCTTCCTTTGTTCTGCTCAGCTCGTGCACGCGCACCGCTTTCCGTCCCTCCAGCTCTCGCTCACACCGGGACTAGGATTGTCCGCTTTCTCATCACATTCCTGCTAATAAAGTTGTTTCACTTTTTTTTTTTTTATTCTAACCAGCACGCTGCTCTGTTTTATTTTTTTTTTTAATCTGCCCATTGGCTGCCCCAAACTGTGTAGACTACTCCCAGGAGGCCCAGCCAGCAGTGGCATGCAGCAGCCAGGGAGCCAGTTTTACACAGTTCTCTCATGGACAGCCGACTCGTACAATCATAACAGGAGAGACCTAGCTGCTGCTTTAACAACTACAACTCCCATGATGCTTCCTAACTGGGGAAAGCACGCAATGCCTTATAATTCAGCAATAGATGTAAGGTATGCCTATTGGGAGTCTACGAATGTGCGGTATTCGTAGCTTTCCTAGTGTTTGTTAATAATGCCGGCAGTCCTAGCTCCGCATTGGCTCGGATACTATACTAAGCACAACACGCAGTCTGAGGCAGTGCCCGCTCGGCTCCCGGTGAGGGCCGGCATGGACAGCCAGTAGCATTTGGCGCGGTGTTAGCGGGAGACGGTTGAGAGTTTGAATTGTAAGTTCTACGCAGACCGTGACGTCACGGCGTTTGAGGGACTGTCACTCCGCTACATACACAAGGAGAGCGGGAGATCAGGAAGTGCTTGTGAGTTGGTCAACTCGAGTGTCCGCGAGATGAAACACCAGTGGCAAAATTCAGATTAATTAGACCGGGCTGCCAGGGTTAGCCACTGAAAAGGAAAATTGTCAATTTTACACTTAAACGGACTGCATAGGCACACACACACACCAATGGGATTCTAACAGACGGTGTGTCCCTTAAATAACGCTGGACGCCTTCAATTTCTGCATGAGGAAATTCAGTGTTAGTGAAAACCCCATTTGCTTGTCGATTAAATTCCCCATTAAGATGATCTCAGAGGATGTGCTGAACGGAAGTTTTTTTTTTTTAACCCTTTAAATGTGGGGGGCGGAGGATGAACAACATATCCAAAAATCACCTATATCAGATAAGTGGTTCAGAAATTTTATGAAAGTCATATTTTTGCTCAAGCGAACACAGGATTTAATTTCCCAAAACAGTTCCATAGAATCGCGGCTAAGTGCTGCTGGAGGACCGACCAGGAACCATGAGATTTTCATGCTGAAAATAGTTCCAGGGCATTCGCCGCTAAGTCCCCCTGAAGTCTGTTTGTGGTTTTGGTCCATGTGAACAAGATGGCCACCACCACGTGTTCGAATGGCGGCCACTTCGACTGTTCAGGAGTTCAAAGAACCATTGTTTAAAGTCTCAATAACCACAAATAGGGTCTCCGAACCACAATAAATTAATAGTCACAAGGTAAAAGGCTGGCAAGTAGTCCCCTCCAAAAATCAGTGGCGCGGTCACTTTTGCCACATATCTCCCTAAGGGGAGACTAACCAGGTACCTGACCTCCTGTTGGTCGGAGCCTGAGTTAGTCGAATAGACCATCCACAAGTAAAGACTGGTGCTTCTGGCTTCTTGGTAGTTGGTGTTACTTGGTGGGCAGAGACCAGCGGTGCTCTGCCCCGCAGTCAGCGTTACACCCGTTGTCTCCTCTCCCTGAAACTCACCCTGCTGCTAGGGAGGGAGGATGATGCTCTCCTCTAGCTGTGACTCTGTCTACTGCTGGGTAGAGGGACCGGTTGTCTCCTCTCCCTGAAACTCACACTTCCGCTGGGGAGAAAGGCCCATACTCCCGGTTCAAGCGGCGCGGCACCTTCCAGTGAAACTCCTCCAATTCGAATGCTGTCCGAAGACTAGCTGGTTCCATATCGCTCCGTAATGATTCCCTGCAGGATACACTGCCGCTGGGGAGGGAGGACGATGCTCTCCTCTCCCTGTGACTCTGTCTTCCGCTGGGGAGAGAGACCGGTTGTCGCCTCTCCCTGCAATTTCCACTGCCGCTGGGGAGAGAGACAGGTTTTTTTTTTTTTTTCTCTCCCTGAAACTCACACTGCCGCTGGGGGGAGAGAGCGTTTTTTTCCTCTCCCTGAAACTCACACTGCCGCTGGGGAGAGAGGCCGGCTGCCTCCTCTCTCTGCAATTTCTACTGCCACTTGGGAGAGATACCGGTTGTCTCCCCTCCCTGAAACTCACACTGCTGCTGGGGAGAGGGGCCCATACTCCTGGTTCAAGCTGCGCGGCACCCTCCAGTGAAACTCCTCCAATTCGAACGCTGTCCAAAGACTAGCTGGTTCCATATCGCTCTGTAATGATTCCGGTGTCTGCAGGATGCTGTTCCTCTTACTAGAAAGCCATCCCACTGTTGCCACCAATGTAATGGATCAACTGGCACCCTGACTGGGTACCTCCATTAACGGATGTGTCCTAGCTGATGCCGAGGACTAAGCACCGCACCAGACACCACAACCACCGCAGACTAACTGGAATCTCGCTGTCTTCCTTCCACCCTGGATCAACCTCTGATATCCAGGACCGTGTGGGAGAGACCTCTCTTCCAGGAGAGCATAACAGGAACAGCTCTTAAAAGAGCTAAGTGATTAGAACCCAGGGGAGTATACAGAGTATAGCAATCCCCAGTGTGATTATAGCAGTTCCCTTCTTTCATGAATTCATCCACTTATAAAAATGTGATTAATGGAATTTACTGTTCAGACAGGAAAAGTTGTGCCGCACAATATTACTGTCCTGACAGGAAAAGTTGTGCTGAGCAGCAATTATGCAAATGATAAGGGGTTCAGAAATGTTATGGAAGTCATATTTTTGCCCAGGCGAACACAGGATTTAATGCACAAAACCGTTCCATAGAATCGCTTCTAAGTGCTGCTGGAGAAGCGACCGTGAACCGCGTGGTTTTCATGCCGAAAAAGCTTCCATGGCATTCGCGGCTAAGTCCCCCAGAAGTCTATTTGCGGTTTTGGTCCATGCGAACTAGATGGCCGCCACCACATGTTCGAATGGCGGCCACTTCGACTGTTCGGAAGTTCAAAGAACCATTGTTTAAAGTCCCAATAGCCACAAATAGGGTCTCCCAATCACAATAAATTAAAGGGGCCCTAGTCACAGGGTAAAAGGCTGGCAAGTAGTCCCCTCCAAAAACCAGTGGCGAGGTCACTTTCTCCACAGTGTCATATACACACACTGACGCACACGCAGATACACACATATTGACATACATACATACACACAGGCACATACAAACACGATATATAGTGGCACATACACACACATACAATATGACATACATCAGAGCCACCCTCCTGTTAACTTACCTTGTGTGTCCAGGAGAGTGGCTTGCTTGTGGTCCTGGTGATGTTGGCTGATGGGAGTGAGGTGCTGCGTGCTCACTCCACCCTCTCCTCTGCCATCCATGGTGCCCACTCTTTGGGCGGCTGTCTCCTGCCTCCTCACCCCCTACCGCGCAGCAGCAACTCTGTGCAGCTGGGAGAAAGTGCTATCACTTCCTCCCAGCCGGCCAATACTACAGGGGCCCAGTCGTGCTCTTAAAGGGCCGCGGTGGCCATTTTGTTTGGGGAAATTACGACGGAACCCCATTTGTGTTCTTGCGGAACCCCACTTGGGAAGCGCTTCTTTAACCCCTTAAGGACACATGACGTGTGACATGTCATGATTCCCTTTTATTCCAGAAGTTTGGTCCTTAAGGGGTTAAATGGATACTATAGGCACCCAGACCATTTCAGCTCATTGAAGTGGTCTGGGTGCAGTGTCCCATCACCCTTAACCCTGAGCATGTAATTATTGCAGTTTTTAATAAACTACAATGTGAAGGACCCTCCGTCAATCGAAGCTCCTAGTGCTTACCAAGGACCATCAGCACTGCACCAGACACCATCAGCACCGCAGTCCCCAGTCCAGCGTGACAGCTTGGCTGGGAACTTGCCGTCTTCTACCCACCCTGGACCTACGACAAGGCTCCAGGTTACAGTGGGTGACCCTCTCTACCTCCAGAGAGTTAAGCAGGAATAGCTCTTGAAAGATGTTAGTGATTATAGCCCAGGGGAGTATATCAATCCCCCAGTGTAGATGCAGCCTTTTCCCCCACACATGAGATGAGGCTCTATGTTGAGGGTAAAACAGGAACTCTGCAGATCTGATGGTTTATTGTCTTTTTATACATTTTTCCCCACAAGGTTACCACCCAGGTGGATCTTGTGGAGCACAGGACACAAAGTCACAAAGCCAATCAGAACAGTATTGTACAGTTAGACACTCCCAGATAACGTACACAAACCCTCCCCTCTGCCTGTGACATCATTAAGAAAGACAATGGACTAATTCAATTAACTCTAAGCAGAAAAAATACATTTTTACAAACCCCAAAAAGTACCCCAAACTACAACATATCCCCACAAAAGTCACATCTCCTGATAGCCCCGATCTGGGTGAATAACATATCCAAAAATCACCCAGATCGGTTCAGGGGTTCAGGAATTTCCTGGAAGTCTTCTTTTTTCCCCACTGTGCACATGGTCCCAAAACAGTTCCATGCACTCGACGACAAAACACTACTGGACGATTTAAGATAGCCGCCACATGTTTGAATCTGTTCCAGTTAAAAGTCCAAGGGACAGAAACATTACCTTTGAACATGGGTTATCACAGGGCCCACAGTCCCAGGGTAGGAGGCTGGTAAAGAGGCCCCTCCAAAAACCAGTGGCGAGGTTACTTTCGCCACACACAATAATTACCTTTGATGGTTAACTCCACCTCTAGTGACAGTCTACCAAAATTTTTTTTAACTTTTTAAGGACCGCTGACGGTTCAGGACCGTCATCGGAAACATACCCTTGAGGACTATTGACGGTCCTGAACCGTCGTAACGGAAAACGAGCGGCGGGAGCAATCAAAGATCGCTCCAAATGATATCCCACAGTTACTATCTGCCAGGCTCTTATAATGCTCATGGGGATTATAAAGAAGCCATCAATTCGCTCTTACTGGAGCACCAACCCTATCTGTTCTAGTCCAGTGTACTCACAAACCATGTCTAGAGCAAGATATGAGTTGCTGCTGAGATATTTACATTTTAATGACAACACCCTCTGTCACCCCAGAGATCATCCCCAATATTATAGGCTTCATAAAATATGCCCACTGGTAGACCATCTTCAGCACAAATTTTCTGAAGTTAATACTCCCCAACAAAATGTATCCATTGATGAATCTCTAATGAAATATAAAGGGAGATTAGGATTCAAACAATACATTCCTTCAAAGCGCTCTAGGTGTGGTGGAAAATTGTACAAACTGTGTGAGAGCGAAAGTGGCTATATGTTTGCCTTTCGCGTATATGAGGGGAAAGATGGTCAGCTGGACCCTCCTGGCTGTCCTGAATCTCTGGGGACAAATGGGGAAATTGTTTGGGACCTACTGATCTCCTTGTTAAATAAAGGTTACCACCTTTATGTGGACAATTTTTATAGCAGTGTCCGTTTGTTTAAAACTCTTTATGGTTTGCAGACACTGGCCTGCGGCACTGTGAGAGAATGCCAATGATTTCTCCAGACATCTTATAGAGGCCAAATTAAAAAAAGGTGAATGTAAAGCATTGCGCTAAGTGCTTGCAATAAAATTTAAGGACAGGAATGTTGTTAACATGCTAACCACCATCCATGACGAAAGAATGTCAGACGTCACTGTCCGAGGCAGAGTACAGATCAAACCTGTTTGCATCAGGGCTTATAACAGGCACACAGGGGGCAGTGGCGTCATCTTCCGGCGCCGGCATCCCTATGCGGCGAGCGAGGGAGCTGAAGAGGAAGCACTCAGGGGAGAGTGCTCCCTCGCGCGCCAGCCCGCCCGCCCAGCGGCACCACTGGACCCCAGGGAATCCCCCCAGCACTCCAAAAGGTAAGGAGGCTGGGGGGATTAAATTTAAAAAAAAATGTGTGTTAGTTTGTGTCAGTGAGTGTGTGTCTGCTAGTGAGTGTGTTTGATGTCTGTTAGTGAGTGTTTGTTTGTCAGTGAAAGTGTATGTTTTGTAAGTGAGTGTGTATGTATGTCAGTAAATGTGTGTGTCTGTTAGCTAGTGTGTATGCGTCTGTTCGTGAGAATGTGTGTCTTCAGCATTTACCTTTCTCCAGCGTCGGACTCCCTTGGCGCTGGGGATCCCTCCGCCTCTCAGCTCCGAATGCACATACACGGCAAGAGGCGCGCGCGCATTTAAACCGCCCATAGGAAAGCATTACTCACTGCTTTCCTATGGACGTTCAGTGTCTTCTCACTGTGATTTTCACAGTGAGAATCGCGGAAGATCCTCTAGCAGCTGTCAATGAGACAGTCACCAGAGGCTGGATTAACCCTCAGTGAAACAGCCGTTTCTCTGAAACGGCTATGTTTTCAGCTGCAGGGTTAAAACTAGAGGGACCTGGTACCCAGACCACTTCATTGAGCTGATGTGATCTGGGTGTCTGTAGTGGTCCTTTAAGTGTGTGTGCATAGCGGGGTCGCAGCCCTGCGACCAGGTGCCCGCCGCCATGTGTTGTGGCCCCGACCCGCACCGAGTAAGCGCGGGGGGGGGGACCCACGGATCAATTTTCGCACCAGGGCCCCATGGGTCATGTGTATGCCACTGACAGGGGGTGTTGATTTGGCTGTTCAGCTGATGTAGCCATGTCTTATGTTACGAAAATCAAAAGCCTCGTATAAAAAGGTGGCTATCTATCTGATGCAAGTAGCAACCCACAATTAATTTTTCATTTTTAAAATAACGAATCCTGGAAAAACAGCCTTTCACCAATTTCAGCACAAGCTGATTTCCACAATAATTTATGGAGATGGTCAAATTCCAACAACAGTGCCAGAGGAGTCCAGAATTGGTGCTGCACATTTTATTTTTAAGATACCACCAACTGCAAAAAAAACATATACCAGAAAAGTTGCCAGGTCTGTTATAAAAAAGGGAATAGGACAGACACTCCTTTTCACTGTCCCGATTGCCCTTCAAAACCTGGACTGTGTATTGGAACATGTTTTAAGCCCTACTACACATAACATACCTTTTTGTACTACTTGTTCCTGAATTATAATTTTTTTTTGTTTCTTTTGAAAGCGGCAAATTTTAGTCAGTTTCCTTCCCCTAAATCTCCAGTTAGATTCTTTTTGAAGGAGTTAGTTTAGAGATTGCTGCTAAAAGTGCATTTGATACATGCACATTTGGTTAAAAAAGTTTTCTAGCAGTAACATAACCGGCTGGCCAAAACCAGATGACGTGTGAATAAAAAATTGAATTAAAAAATTACCACCACACATTTTCTCTGGATTTTTGGGGCAAAATGGTTGGGGGAAAGAAGTCAAAACACTCCATCTTTTATAACCTTGGATGTCTACTTTATAAAAAATATATACTTTCAAACCATAAATTCAACTTGGGGGATGTGAAAATGCACCACATTCAACATGTGCCTAGCAAAACAACCAAACTATATTCAGCCAAAATGGGAAAGTCCAAAATTTGTTACTGTAAAATTGTGGCAAACCAATGCATGGGGGGCATTGGTGTAATCAGGGGACTTTGCAGAAAACAAACTGGGGTGTTTGCTGGCAGTAACATATAACCAGCTTGCTAAAATCAAAAAGCAGAATTAAAAAAATACTACCATGCACGTTCTCTGAATTCTTTTTAGCACAATAGTTGGGGGAAGGATGTTAAAACACCCCATATACAATACCCTGGCATGTCTACTTTATAAAAATATATACTTTCATGATGGTAACATTAATTGGGCATGCAGAAATACGCCAAACTGAAGATAGGCCAATCATACCTATATATTAAATTGAAAAACTGACATTCACAAGTCTTGATCGTGGCCTTTTAGCCCCCAAATAACCCAGCAAACATACGCATGGGTGATATCACTGTACTCAGGAGATGTTGCTGAACACATATTGGGGTGTTGTTTGGCAGTAATACATAACAGGATCTGTTAATTCATGCCTAAAGTACAATGTGTGTGAAAGAAAAATAAAAATACTACACAAATGTTTGACAAAGGCTGGTGGTAGAATTCAGTGCATGAAAAGTGTTAAAATACCACCATTTAAAATACCCTGGGTTGTCTACTTTTCAAAAATATATGGTTTGATGGGGGTATAATACACGGGCCCAAATAGGCACAGGTTGACTACATGTCAAAATTCCAAGTTGAAAAATGGATATGCACACCTGCCAAATGTGACCTTTTAGCCTCCTAACAATCAGACAAGCCTATGCATAGGTAGTATCACTGTACTCGGGAGATGTTGCTGAACACATATTGGGGTGTTGTTTGGCAGTGACACATAACAGGATCTGTTAATTCATGCCTAAGATACAATGTGTGTGAAACAAAACCAAAAAAATTACTACCCAAAAGTTTGACAAAGGCTGGTGGTAAATTCAGTGCATGGAAAATGTTAAAGTACAACCATTTAAAATACCCTGGGTTGTCTACTTTTAAAAATATATGGTTTGATGGGGATAAAATACATTGTCCGGCTTCAAAAATTTCTCAAATAGGACATGGGCGTAGGTTGACTACATGTAAAAATTCCAAGCTGGAAAACGGATATGTGCACCTGCCAAATGTGGCCTTTTAGCCCCCTAACAACCCAACAAACCTATGCATGGGTGGTATCACTGTACTCAGGAGATGTTGCTGAACACATATTAGTGTGTCTTTTGGTAGCAACACATAACAAGATATGGGAATGTATACCTGAATTGCAATGTATGTGAAACAAATTTTAAAAAATAAACTACCTATGAGAAGTTTGGCAAAGATTGGCGGTAAAATGACTGCATAGAAAGTGTCAAAATATCCTTAGATGAATACCCTAGGTTGTCTACTTTAAAAAAATATGTACATGTGGGGTGTTTTTCATTGATTTATGACAGATAACAGTGTTACAATGTCACTATTGATTCTTATAGCCCTATAACTTGCAAAAAAAAAAAGAAGCATGTAAACACTGGGTGTTTTTAACCCCTTAACGCCGTTACGGCGTTCTATGCCATCGCGGCTTTAAATGGCTTTAAAGCCGTTGCGGTGGCATAGAACGCCGTAACGGCTTAAGCCCCCAGGGGATCGCAGCTACTTACTTCCGCTGCGATCCTCTTCTGGAGGGTTGCCTGACCACCCAGGCAGCCCACCTCCGGCAAGTATGGCCCCCTATAGCTGGCTATGGATCTGCCAGCAGGGGGGCTGTCTGAAATAGCAGACAGTCCCCCTGCTGGTGGGAAATGAAATAAAATTAAAAATAAACATGTGTAAAATAAATTCAATATATATATATAATATAATATATGTATATATATATATATATATATTATCTATATAATATATATATCTATATATATATAACGTCATACGTTGTGTATTTTAATACTAATATTAGTATATATATTAGTATTAAAATACACTTAGAATGACGTTACATATAATATGTATATATATATTATATATATAATAGATATATATTATATATATGCGTATAATTACATTAATAAAATAATAAAATAAATAAATAAAATATTGAAACAAAATTTTATTAAAGGGGGGCGGAGCCTGGCTGTGGAGCTGATCAGACGCGAGTAGCACGAGCTCCCGTCTGAAACTACAACTTATGCCAAAATAACCCGGCTAACAAGCTACAAACTCCGTTAAATTGCACCACCCATGTAGAGGATGCAAAGGAGATTGCAACGAAACCGCAAGTACGACTCTAAGACACCGGGAACTCGAGACATATCGCTGGGGCCTACTGTGACGCTTGGACCTGCAACCTGGGTAGAGACAAAGGCGAGGGTGAGGCGGCCGATCACCCAGCCCGAGACTCCCTAGACACGGACCCTAAAGCTGCAGAGGACCAGCCACGAGCCTCCCTCTCCCCCCCCCTTGCTGGTGAGGGATATCCCGGCACCAACAGCATACCGATTGCTTGCCTCCAAAGACTGTCCGACCCAAGGACCACCGACTCCAATATGGCGGATGCCACGTGCCAATCGGCAGTTATGGGGGCCAGCGGAGATCCAGCGAATCACTCTCTGTCCAAACTCGACGAAATATTTGCTGCCTTCTGGGCTAAGATAGCAGAGAGAAAGCTGCACACTGCTTCAACTATACTGACCACTCCTGCAAGTATACCTCCAGAGACCTCCAGCCCTACGAACGGACGCAGAACGGTTACTACCGGCGGCTCCACTAAGAGGCGCCGACGGCGGAACCGGCGGAACAAGCGGCAACGAAGAGCCAGCTCTCAACCCCACATTCACCTCCGCTTCAAGCGACCACGACTCCGGACGGGTGCCGAAGCGACCTGCCCAACAGGGAAGCGCTGACCCCCCCAATATGCAAACCTCTATCACCAAAGGCCGGATGCATGGCTTCTACACGCACGTATGTCCTTGACACCACAGGGGATGGCGACTCCCAGGGGCTACAGTGCGAGCCCAGAGGGGATCGGATGAAGGTGACCGTGACAATTGTCAGACATATCGCTGGACTTCCCCGAATATGCCTCCTGACACACAAACTGCTTTCTGATTGCTGACTAAACTTATAGTAACGACCATTAACCTGTTATACCCATACCTTTTGCTGAGTGATCGATAAGTAATATTTTAAGTACTAGCTAACACAATCTAATGTGGCATCCTAAGCATAGTTAAAACTCACTTGATGGCTGTTGGTTTACCTGCATGTGAACACACTAGCAACTATAAATCTTTATACACCTTCTCACACATAGACGTAAAAGGAAGTTTGCAATCTACATGCTTGTCCTAGTATAATCTGTGTGAAAATATGCTCCAACATGATAATCTTCAACCTATATATAACTACATAAAATTGTGCATTGTTAGCATATACCCCTGTTATAAATGTTTTGAAATAAGCACGTGGAATGCCGTCGGGGTACCACCTGCATGCTTGTTATACATATATGCACTGCAAAAAAAAAATATATAAAAAAAAAAAAATTTATTCAAATTATATATTCATATGTAATTTCATTCTAACTGTATTTTGTTATTAATATATATATATATATTGGTAACAAAATACACTTAGAATGACATTCTATATATATCTATCTATATATAAAATACAAATAACCGCAAATATATATATATATATACATATATATATATATATATGTATATATATATATATATATATATATATATATAAATACATATAATTACATAAAAGATTACATTAGTATACACGTAGAATTTAAATACCTATAAATGCATATATATAAAAATTCTACGTGTATATTTAAGTAATCTTTTAACATAATTATGTGATTTGATTAATTAAAATTTGATTGACATGCCTGACAACACAGGGAGAAAGTGCAGAGAATTTAATTTGCAAGCACTATATTTGACCCTGTAACTCTCCAGGACACCATAAAACCTGTACATAGGGGGTACTGTTTTACTCGGGAGACTTCGCTGAACTCAAATATTAGTGTTTCAAACTGGTAAATTGTATTACAATGATGATATTTTAAGTAAAAGTGACGTTTTTTGCATTTTTTACAAACGAACGTCATGTTTATGGACTATATTATTGTTGTAATATGTTTTACTGTTTTAAAACACTAATATTTGTGTTTAGTGAAGTCTCCTGAGAATAACAATACCCCCCATGTACAGGTTTTATTGTGTTTTGGAAAGTTAGAGAGTCACATATAAGGCTTGCATTTCATTTTTTTGACATTGAAATTTGTCAGATTGGTTATGTTGCCTTTGAGAGCATATGGTATCCCAGAAATAAGAATTACCCCCATGATGGCATACCATTTGCAAAAGTAGACAACCCAAGGTATTGCAATTGGGGTATGTCCAGTCATTTTTAGTAGCCACTTAGTCACAAACACTGGCCAAATATTAGTTTTTTGCTTTTTTCACACAAAAACAAATATGAACGCTAACTTTGGCCAGTGTTTGTGACTAAGTGGTTACTAAAAAAGACTAAACATACCCCACGTTCAATACCTTGGGTTGTCTACTTTTTCAAATGGTTCGCCATTATGGGGGTAATTCTCATTCCTGGGCTACCACAACGTCTCAAAGGTAACATAACTAATGTGGCAAATTTCAATTTAAAAATGGAACGTTCTATATTTGACCCTGTAACTTTCCAAAACACCATAAAACCTGTTAATGGGGGGTACGGTTTTACTTGTGAGACATCGCTGATTACAAATATGTGCATGTTTTTGCAGTAATACCTAACAGTATTATGACATTAACAGCTAAAATGTCAGACGGAAATACAAATTAAAAAAAAATATCTTATTTTCTAATTTTTTTTTACATTTTATTCATAATAAATGATGTTCCACATATGAATAGTTAATGATAAATTAAAGCCCTGTTTCTCCTGAACAAAATGATATCTAATAAGTGTGGGTGCACTACGGTGAATTACCGGTGAACAGACATATAGCGCAAATTCCAGTTTTTGTTTACGTTTTGTTTTGATCAGAACGTGTACTATTGACTCCGTCCTGAAGGGGTTAAACTTTTTTTTTCAATTTTTCACTATATTTTATTATATTGTTTAAATTAAATTATATGACATGCTACAAATAATGGTATGTAAAGAAAGCCCTTTTTGTCCTGTAAAAAAACAATATATAATTTGTGTGGGGACAGTAAATGAGAGAGAGGAAAATTACAGCTAAACACAAACAGCACAAAAGTGTTAAAACAGCCCTAGTCCTTAATGTACAACATGGCCAAAACAGTCCAGTCCTGAAGGGGTTAAAGGACAGAAAGGGTCCTAACATCCTAAATGTACACTACAATAAAGGGACACTATACAGGGAGTGCAGAATTATTAGGCAAGTTGTATTTTTGAGGATTAATTTTATTATTGAACAACAACCATGTTCTCAATGAACCCAAAAAACTCATTAATATCAAAGCTGAATATTTTTGGAAGTAGTTTTTAGTTTGTTTTTAGTTTTAGCTATGTTAGGGGATATCTGTGTGTGCAGGTGACTATTACTGTGCATAATTATTAGGCAACTTAACAAAAAACAAATATATACCCATTTCAATTATTTATTATTACCAGTGAAACCAATATAACATCTCAACATTCACAAATATACATTTCTGACATTCAAAAACAAAACAAAAACAAATCAGTGACCAATATAGCCACCTTTCTTTGCAAGGACACTCAAAAGCCTGCCATCCATGGATTCTGTCAGTGTTTTGATCTGTTCACCATCAACATTGCGTGCAGCAGCAACCACAGCCTCCCAGACACTGTTCAGAGAGGTGTACTGTTTTCCCTCCTTGTAAATCTCACATTTGATGATGGACCACAGGTTCTCAATGGGGTTCAGATCAGGTGAACAAGGAGGCCATGTCATTAGATTTTCTTCTTTTATACCCTTTCTTGCCAGCCACGCTGTGGAGTACTTGGACGCGTGTGATGGAGCATTGTCCTGCATGAAAATCATGTTTTTCTTGAAGGATGCAGACTTCTTCCTGTACCACTGCTTGAAGAAGGTGTCTTCCAGGAACTGGCAGTAGGACTGGGAGTTGAGCTTGACTCCATCCTCAACCCGAAAAGGCCCCACAAGCTCATCTTTGATGATACCAGCCCAAACCAGTACTCCACCTCCACCTTGCTGGCGTCTGAGTCGGACTGGAGCTCTCTGCCCTTTACCAATCCAGCCACAGGCCCATCCATCTGGCCCATCAAGACTCACTCTCATTTCATCAGTCCATAAAACCTTAGAAAAAGCAGTCTTGAGATATTTCTTGGCCCAATCTTGACGTTTCAGCTTGTGTGTCTTGTTCAGTGGTGGTCGTTTTTCAGCCTTTCTTACCTTGGCCATGTCTCTGAGTATTGCACACCTTGTGCTTTTGGGCACTCCAGTGATGTTGCAGCTCTGAAATATGGCCAAACTGGTGGCAAGTGGCATCGTGGCAGCTGCACGCTTGACTTTTCTCAGTTCATGGGCAGTTATTTTGCGCCTTGGTTTTTCCACACGCTTCTTGCGACCCTGTTGACTATTTTGAATGAAACGCTTGATTGTTCGATGATCACGCTTCAGAAGCTTTGCAATTTTAAGAGTGCTGCATCCCTCTGCAAGATATCTCACTATTTTTGACTTTTCTGAGCCTGTCAAGTCCTTCTTTTGACCCATTTTGCCAAAGGAAAGGAAGTTGCCTAATAATTATGCACACCTGATATAGGGTGTTGATGTCATTAGACCACACCCCTTCTCATTACAGAGATGCACATCACCTAATATGCTTAATTGGTAGTAGGCTTTCGAGCCTATACAGCTTGGAGTAAGACAACATGCATAAAGAGGATGATGTGGTCAAAATACTAATTTGCCTAATAATTCTGCACTCCCTGTATGTACCCAGACCAGTTCAGCTCATTGAAGTGATCGGTGTGCAGTGTCCTAAGTCTCTTAACCCTGCAAAGGTATATATTGCAGTTTTTAATAAACTGCAATAATGACCTTTGATGGTTAAGTCCACCTCAGTGGCTGTTTACCAGACAGCCACTAGAGGGACTTCAGGGTCTTTAGGAGACTTTTGGTCGCCTAAATAAATCTGGATGTCCCCACGCTATGCACAAGGTCTTTCAGTGTCACCAAAGCATTGCTGCGCATTAGTTCTGACATCGGCAGGGGAGGAGAGAAGGCGGACCCGAGCCAGCACATAACCCTTTCTACACCATGGAGGGAGGGGAGGATTGTTTTCCTGGCACTAGTTTCCCTTTAAAACCAGAGTAGCTAAACTGGAAACATTTTCCATGTCAGTTTACGCTTCCAGTTTGCATACTTTGGCTTTCAGTTTGAAATTCCCTTTGAATTCCTGTCAATTCTCACTTTAACCACTTATGGATGCATGACGGAAAATTTCCGTCATGCAGTATTTTTTTCAGTAGGGTCTATTTTCTTGCTGGTAACTATGATCCCCAGGTATCATTTGATTCCTGGGGCTCCCCTCTCTCACCTGGGGTCAGAATTAGTGGCCCCAGACTGACCGATGCTCTATTTGCAGAGCTCAAAGTGAGCGCTGCAAACAAGCATTTAAATGGGGATTTAAATCCCCACTATTACAATTTGGTGTGATCAGGGTTAAATCCCTGCTCACACCAGGGAGTTCCCCTCTATCAGCTAGGGATATTTTTTGTGACCCCAGCCTTTTTGATGAGCTACAAGCAGTGCTGGAAGTCAGCACAGCATGTATCTGCTTACATAGGCATTTAAATGCCTATATTTAGATTGTGGTGTGAGGTAGGTTAAATCCCTGCTCAAGCCATGAAACCCAGGTATCATTACAAACCTGGGGCTCCCCTCTTTCAGCTGGGGCTGTTTTTAGTGGCCCCAGACTGACAGCTGAGCTGCATGCAGAGCTCAAAGTGAGATCGGCATGCATCTGTTTAAATGGGGATTTAAATCCCCATAGAAAGCAATGTAGTGTGAGCAGGGTCAAATCTATGCTCACACTAGGAAACCCAGGTATCAATAGATACCTGGGGCTTCCCTCTGTTAGCTGGGGCCATTTTTAGTGGCCCCAGACTTTTTGATGAGCTGCTTGCAGTGCTGAAAGTCAGCACTGCATGTAGCCCTTTAAATCCACAAAGAACACTGCAGCTCAGCGATCAAGCTCAGCTACAGTCATTCTCTCAAGTGATCTGGTGCTTGGGAGACCCCCAGGGTCTGAACAGACCCTGGAGGGTCACCCTCTATGCCCCAATGCCATTCTGATCAGTGCTTGGCTTTTTCAGTTGCCCAGCACAGATTGCATAGCATTGGCTATAATGTCTTCAATGTAAGAGATAGGAGACTGCAATACTGAAAATAGCCAGTATATGGCAACAACGTACTGTCAGGGTATAGATATCGGCAGACATTTTGTGCTATGATAGAAACTAAAAGTGTATATTCTGAGTCACTCTGAACAGACCAGACTCCATTTTGTTATTTTCAAGTTAACAAAAAGACACCAGATTTCTTTCTGTAAGACTAGCCATTTTGCCAGAGCTAAGGAATGCATAGCATAGTATAAACAAGTGATAAGAAGAATATAATCAAATCTAAACACAGACAATTGTGACAGAGAAGATTAAATAATAATATTTAACTGTCTATATATATAAGGTACCATTGTATGGAAAAGGGTAAACTTAGTTCATGATCTGCCATATCAGAAATTATAGCAGATTTGCCAGACACATAGTCTGGACAAAATTTAAGAAACCCTTTGAAATTTAAATTATGGCACTATAAAGATAACGCAAAATGACGTCAAAATAGCCACCAGGAAAAGTTAACTCTTTCCTGGATAGGTATGTTTAGTAGGACAAGACTGCCCTCTATAGACCAAATACCTAATTTGCGATCTGGAAGATAACCACACCTCTAGTGCTTCTATTGGGTTATCAACTGATGACGTACAGAGAGTCTGGCCCTTTAAAAGTTAAGACAAAGGGAAGATAGAGGTATAGGCAAGGGAGGCAGGAGATGCAAAGGAGAGGAGAGAGGAATTGGAAGTTTGGGGATTCCAACTCGGACAACATCTGAGACTAACACTCTACTCCTAAAACTCTAACACTTAGAATTTACTGACTTTCTAACCAACACCTCCATGCAGAGACACATCCAAATAAGTTCCTGAGACTACCAATCGGATGAAATATCTACTCAACTGGTAATTATACTGGTTTCATTTAATTAAATTAATTAAAATGTATTAATAGCATGATATATGACTAGGATAAAGCACGGTCAGATTTCCATATTAAGAAATCTTAGTTAACTAAAGAATATATCGTTATAAACATTCCATTCTGCAGGTGGAATTAAGAATAATTATATATTGAAGTGATATTATCACGTGTTAGCATACCGCTGTTTTTATCCAGGTGTATTGATTTGCTCTAAATTAAGATAAGATATCTTTTAGACAAATTAAAACCAAACTCTGCTCATATAATATGGTAGATTCTCTTATTGGATGGTTCCAGGAAATGACTAATGAACTGGTTTAAATGTTATTTTATCTGAAATTACATAAGAATAGATCTTAATTACCTAGGAGATCTAGCCAGCATTGAAAGGGTTATTCTAACTGTCAGCTAACTTTACGACCTTACGCTGCACTCTGAAGAATTCTGTTCTCTGAGTAAAACTTTTCTTCGCTGTGAAATGTTTCACTTTAAGTCTGTGTTAAGGATACCTCATAAATCGTCAAAGTCTTGACAGATAATGCTGTTTTAGCCATTGAAACGTAATACCCATTTCTTTGTATTGCATATCATTTTATACTGAATATTCATTGATTATTATTACGCATGTTACATATTATTATTAATTAATTTGTCATAAACAAATAAAATCTATTTTTATAAAATTGTGAATATTATTTATATGATATACTTCTCACTTAACACGATAAACGTTCTTTGGGATCTGAGAATTGAATTAGTGGGCAATTCTCAACTGTTTACTATTATTATCCCATAAATATCCCCACATATTGGAGGCACGGTGCTGAGATCGTTTAAGTTGAAATTATATTTCATATATAATAATATTGGTGTAATTCATGCAATTTAATCTTGATATAGAAAAGAGTTTTGTATTGAGATTAAATCACTGTATAGAAATATGGCTGAATCCAGTAATACATCTGTAACAGATAATACTGAAATAATTGAAGACCTAAGAAAACATGCTCTAGTTCATATTCATAAACATATGAAAAATGATGCAACCTATGAGGTTTGGTTGAAAAGCATAGAATGGGAAGCTAAACACACCATTCTAACTGATGAACACATCATCATATATCTTAAAGAAATTGCTGAACAAAAGAACATAGAAAGGAAAATGGCGTACATAATACACTCTTGGCCTTTCTTTATGACAGCACTTCTTAAGGTGTGTGATGAAAACAAGTCACTGAATGCCAAATTGGACACGTACAGTGACGATTTGGGCATTCAAAATGGGAAATACCAAGATTTACTTGCTGAGCATAAAACTCGTCAGGCTGATCATGAAAAAGAAATGGAAGCTTTGACGGATAAATATGCACAGGAAATAAATCAGCTTAAAATGCAATTGGATGAGTATGAAAAGGAGAGTCAGAAATTAGACAGTGAGGTTGGTAGTCATCATTCTGTGCCAAAAAGTTGCACAAAAATGCAAGAAAAGACTATCTGTAAATCCCCTCCTTATTATGATTTTCCCACACCAAACCAGGTTTTCATAAAACAGTCTGTAAGTAAAGGTGTGAGTAATTCTAAAAAATCACCTGTGGAACAAGATTCCCCATCTCATGACATTACCAAGCCACCTTGGCAATCTTGGGCAGAACAGTTTGAAAAAGCTGTCTTGGCCAAACTTGAGAGGGAGAGTCCAATTCAAGATGATAGGAATGAAAACAGACATGGTTCTGTACACTGGCAGGATTCTGATGTTGATCAGAATTGTGACAGTGAACAAGAAGCTCAGAGTGATGGGAGTGAAAGTGATTGCACTGTCCACTCTGAAGGCCATGTAACTGATATGCCGTCTGCACTGTTGTACGGGTCTAATTCCTTTTCAGCAGACAGATCACATAGACGTTTACCCAAACACAGAAACAGAGCTCGTAAATCAACGATGCCTGTTTATGAAACACCAAAGGTCATCAAATTCCTTAGAGAGACTGTCCCACAATTTTCTAGAGGTTCAGGAAACATATCTGAACATCTGGAAAATTATGATAGAGCAATGAATTCATTGGGCATGTATGATGACATTCATAAGAAATGGTTCATTACATGGACCTTTGATTCAATGTGCCGTGTTTATCTAGAAAGTCTTCAAGCTATACAGTTAATGTCCTGGTCCAAGATGAAATATGAAATAATCATGGAATATGGTAAGTATAAAACCATTGCTTCTGCAAAGAAGGCGCTTTATAACTTAAAGTGCCGTCCAGATCAAAGCCCCAGAGAATTTTTAATAATTCTTAAAAATGCATACTCCGTGGCCCAAAGAAAACCCAGGTATGAAAGCACAGACTTCAAAGATCTGTATTTTCATGCCATGCCGGTAAACATACAAATTAATCTCGCAAGAGATTATGATTGTAAGTTGCCATTAGAATGGCTAGTCAGTCAATGCATGAAATTGTATACTATACACCATGCACATGACGAAAATCAGCCAAAGGTTAAGAAACCTGGTGATAAAATGGTGTCAGAGACTAAAATTCAGTTAGGTTTAGAAACCCAACAGAAAAAGAGGAATTATTCCGAGGTTTTGAAAACACCAAAACCTCAGAAACAGGAAAACGCCAGAAGCAATTCTGCAAATTCCTCTGAAAATAACTCTGAAAAATCCAATGCCAATGGGAATAAACGCCCCTGGGTTAATAAGAACCAAGGCAATTCCAATGCAGAAGGAATCCTCAGGGAAATAGGAGATATGGGAACAGAAACAAACAATCTGCTTCCAATAACTCCCAACAGTCTCAGCCATCCCAACCAAATTCTAATGGGCAAAGACAAAACGGCAATGGGGGAAATAATTTGCGTCGTCAGGTTGGTCAATTGACAGACCAGATGGGCAAATTAATGGAGGAAATGACAAAGATTAACCAAGTCTTTGCTCTCAATCCTTTTTTAGGGATAGCTCCAATTGCAGAACTACCTGTGCAACAGCAACAACAACAGGTGCCGCAGCAATAATAGCCACTGTGACTAAACAGGCTAGGTTATCAGTAGATGTAATGCCTAACCCTGTTTCCTTTCCAGGTACTCATAGTCAAATAAACAATAGTTGTGTTAGAAAACCTATTGCCTATCCCGTCACTTCACTTCCGGGTGAAGGAGGCGCAACGTGTTCCTCTGCTTTTTCATTTCAGCCAAAGGCTAAAGTAGCCCCAGCAACCACTAGTTTCCAGGATCCAGACCTGAAAGGGTTAACTGATGAGATGCCGACCACTAGTTCCCGCTTGATAGTTCAAGTTATTCCTAAAAAGGATGGGCCTGTGGGTAAGACTGAGCATTCCTCAGTACAGGTAGAAACTACTGCTGTGACCGGTAATGTATGGAAAACAAGTAATATGTTGACACATTCTAAATTCTTATGTGAATTAGAAGAACATGAAGGAAGGTACTACATATCTGTAGAAATACAGGATTCGCTACCCCAGCCTTTCAAAGGGTTAATAGATACTGGTTCACAAGCCACTATCTTATCCAATACCTACTTCCAGCAGGTAATGGACTTAGCAACGGATAAGCCGAAGCTAAGAGATTTCCCCAATGCTCTGTTGAGTGTAGGAGGAAATGCCCTTCATGTTATTGGCAATACCTGGTTAAAGTTTAAAATAGGTAACAAAACCTTTAGACACCCGGTGATAGTGGTAGATCTCCCCTATGACCGACTGATTCTGGGTATAGACATACTCAGAAGACTTAACACAATTATTGACTGTGTAAATGGAATTGTATGGTCACAAGCTAAAGTTCCCATAACCTATGAGAAATCACATGTACAATCTGATCGTAACTGCCATGTGATAGAAGAAAGACCTGACTCGATAGAGGTACATTTTAGAAATAGTCAGTCGCCTGACGTGACTATCCTGCAGGTGAATGATGCAATCGCACCTGTAGATGAGCATTCCGTAAGAATTGCTCCAGAGAAGATCCAGAATGTCTCTCTGGAAGGTGATGTTTTAACCATTTCTCTCCACAGGGACTATGTTGAATCTGTAGATCTGGCAGGTCATGCTCAATTCCTTGCCAGAATTGAAAGGGTTAATAACAACTTATTCTTTCATATTCAGATAAATGACTTAGGCAGAAGTAGGAATGCAAAGCTGGACTTAAAGAGTGAGAACAGCTATATTAGCAGAAGTCTGTTAAAGCAGATCGCTAATCCTAAAATGATCAGGTACGCTTCCCCACATGACAGGTGGATCCAGAATCTGGATGGCGAATCAGAGAGTCACAATGTGATAGCAAAATGTTTACTATCTATTTCCATCGGAAATAAGACCGTTAAGGACCACTCTAGGCACCCAGACCACTTCAGCTTAATGAAGTGGTCTGGGTGCCAGGTCCTTCTAGGGTTAACCATTTTTTCATAATTATAGCAGTTTCAGAGAAACTGCTATAATTATGAATGGGTTAAGCCTTCCCCCTAATCCTCTAGTGGCTGTCTCATTGACAGCCACTAGAGGCGCTTGCGTGCTTCTCACTGTGAAAATCACGGTGAGAGCACGCCAGCGTCCATAGGAAAGCATTGTAAATGCTTTCCTATGAGACGGAAAGCTGGTCTTGTGGCGCGGCTGTACATGGCGTGCGCCTAACCCGGTGAGCGTAGCAGGAGAGGGAGGAGGGAGAGCTCTCATGGCGCTGGAAAAGGTGAGATTGTACCATTTCCCCTTCCAGAGCGAGGCGGAGGGGTCCCTGAGGGTGGGGGCACCCTCAGGGCACTATAGTGCCAGGAAAACAGGTATGTTTCCCTGGCACTATAACTAAACATTTATTCCTAGTGATAAACGAACCTCGCTTTCAGGTTTACATCGGCAATGTCATACATCGCTTTGCCATACACCTTGTCCTGATTAATTCCAACTTGTGGACAAGGTTAAAAGGTAATCCTTGTGGATACCTACACGAGGAAAACGCCCTGAAATCAGGACAAATACTCCCATATGCGGTAAGTATCCAAGTTCCTGATGACATAACCATTCCACAGGGGACAAGTAATTTTCTTTTACCGCTACAGGTCAAGGAGGGTCAGAGATTGGAAAACTCTGATGCCCTAATCTGTTTATCCAACAGGATACAACAATTAGGGATGGTGGTAACACATACACCAATGGTAAGTATTGGTAAGAATCCCACCTATATAATGGTCAACAATGTTACACCCAATGGTGTTACTTTACCAAAAGGAACATTATTAGGTCTAGCATTGGATGCTGAGTACTATACATTTGGTTTCCAAAACCAAATTATAGGCCTTATCCCTGAAGAATACTTAACTGAGGACGAAATTGTCGATCAAATATTCCATTCCTCCCCAGAAGGATTATTCACTATCCTATCTGTATATCCCTTCAACGTCGAAGAAGGCTCGTGTAAAATCGAAGAAGCATCTATTACCTTCGATCATCCGCTCAATGAGCAGGAATCACAAGAGTATCACGACCAAAGAGAAAAGGTAAGTCAACACGAACTGACCTAACTTCTAGGCTTGAAGAAGCTTATGAGATAGGCCAGCCTGAAATCTTTCCAGGATTTCAGGAAAGGCTAGAAGAGCAAATATCTTTAGCTGACGGTTGCTCCAACGATGCTGAGCGGCAACAGCTAAAGGAAATCCTTTTGGAATTCCAAGATATTTTTGCCAAAGATTCCTACGACTGTGGGTTAACTAATCTCCACGTAGCCAGAATACAAACTGATCCAAATTTACCACCTGTATTTATCAAACAATATAGACTTCCATTAGCGTCATATGATGGTCTACAAGACATCATTCAGAATTTAAAGGAAAGGGGCATTATACGTCCAGTGCACAGTTCGTATAATAATCCGATCTTGGGGATTCTGAAACCTAATGGACAATGGCGTTTATGCGCTGACTTACGACAGCTAAATAAGCGCGTCTATATGTCTGGTTGGCCAACACCATACATAGACCAATGTTTGGTACAAATGCAGGGATCCAAAATATTCACTGCCATTGACTGTGCGCAGGGATATTGGACTGTACCAGTCCATAATGAGGACCAATACAAATTGGCCTTCACATTTGGAAAGCAGCAGTATACCTGGACCCGTATGCCTTTCGGTTATATAAACTCTGGTCATGAATTTGCTGTGTTCATGCATAAAGCTATGCCTGATGCACTCGAGAGAGGAACGTTATCATATGTCGACGATGTCTTGCTGAAAAGCACCTCCTTTGATAACCATATCTTAGAGATTAGACATGTTCTCACTCAGTTAAGAGAGGCAGGGATTAAACTGTCTTTACAAAAGGCGCAATGGTGTCGCACCCATGTCAATTTCCTCGGACATGAGGTAACTTCTGAAGGATTAAATCCCCAGAGGAAGAAGGTTGAAGCCGTGCTAAAGGCTAAAACACCTTCAAACATCAGGGAATTAAGATCGTTCCTTGGTATGACTAACTACTCCCGTAAGTTTATAGATAACTATGCAGAAATAACTAAACCACTCTTACACCTGCTTAAAAAGGAAACTACCTGGAACTAGGGGGAGCCTCAGGACCAAGCGGTAAGTGAACTGAGGAGGAAGCTCACTCAGGCACCCTGTTTAGCATACCCAGAGGGGGGTAAACCCTTCTATCTGGAGACAGGATATACCGATTTAAGCATAAGTGCTGTTCTGTATCAGAAGCAGGACAGTTTGAACAAGGTTATTGCATATGCTAGCAAGACTTTGTCACCTGTTGAAGTTAAATTCAACACGTGTGAGAAGGCGTTA